AGTTGACATTGGGCATATTCTGCCTCATAAATTGACTTAATTTTCTTAGTTTACCAAGAGAATAATAATGATGATGCATTTCCCTAAGTGATTTTTTTGCTGAATAAGGGTAAGAGATTAAATTCTCATTTACTCATTAAATGTATATTTACTAACAGTGTTTTGATTTTTAATGGAAGTAGATATTCACTTCCTAAAAACTTTGAAATAAAAAAGTGAAAGGCCAGTAATTCAAGTTTCCTGTTTATGCTTTTCCTCCTAATAACATGCTTTTCTATTTTTATATATTGCTATATTGTAAATATCACATTGCCAGATTCACATTGGTCTTGGGAAAGGCGTTAACTTTTCTTACTCTCAGTGTCTTTAACTCTAAAATGGAGAAAATACTCTTTTTTAGGTACCTACTTTTCAGACTTGCTGTAAGAATGACAACAGATCACAGATGCTATGTGAAAGTGCTTGGTAAACAATAATGCACTATATAAATATGTAATTTTTGTTTCTCTGGGTATCTTAATGCTTTCAAAGTAAGTAATGGGAAACATTATCTCTGAGTAGACTGATGATACCTTTCTGTGTTCCCCATAGCAACTTCTATTTGCAGAACCATATGTTGCCTCTTATTACACTGTCATACATCCTTACAAAAGATGGGCTGATTATACCTAAGCCTATTAATCTATAGTGTTTCTCATGCTTGGAAAAGTAATATTAAAGACCAAGCTGTTGTTACGGAGCTAGATTTTAGTTCCTGATGAACTTGTCAGGAGAGTTAAACTTCCCTATATACTGGAGAAGCACAATCTAATTGATAGTATCAAATATTGTTGTACAGTTAATGAACAAAATGTACAGTCTGAGATACTGTTGTTCATCACTTGTATAACAAGCAGCTATGTGCACATGATGTATCTCAGAGCAATAATTCAATTCTGCAAGTACATCAGTGATACCGTCAAGGGACAGATGTCCAAAAGTTCTCTCTCCAAGATGTCATTAACCAGGAAATTGCCTTTTATTTCTTTAGGATGAATTGTTGAAGTATAATGTACTCAGGCATGCAAATTATGATGTACTTTTGTCAAACATTTGTTCTCTGTTGCATAGCAATTTGTACAAGAGAATTTTCTGCAGTTGCATTCTTTAGAAAAAATTAAAAATTTTAATACAATTATCTGCCAGTTTCATTTTGGAAAAGTAGCAAAAATAGCAAAAGCAGATAGATATGTAGTTTCACCATATTAAGAGAATATATAGGCAGGGCGCAGTGGCTCCCGCCTATAATCCTAGCACTCTGGGAGGCCGAGGTGGGCGGATTGCTCAATGCTAAGAGTTCGAAACCAGCCAGAGCAAGAGCGAGACCCGTCTCTACTATAAATAGAAAGAAATTAATTGGCTAACTAATATATATTAAAAAAATGAGCCGGGCATGGTGGTGCATGCCTGTAGTCTCAGCTACTTGGGAGGCTGAGGCAGTAGGATTGCTTGAGCCCAGGAGTTTGAGGTTGCTGTGAGCTAGGCTGACACCATGGTACTCACTCTAGCCTGGGCAACTAAGTGAGACTTTGTATCAAAAAAAAAAAAAGAGAATATGTATCTTTTAATCTTAGCAGGGAAAAAAAATCAATGAAATGATTACCATATAACTTAACCAAGTGAAGTAGATAAAATAAGAACAAAGCAACATACATGGAAAATTAGAAAATAATAAACTTAGTTTCAGCCTTGATTCAATTCAAGTATGTAAAATTTAAATTATAACCACACAGATGATAATAATTTTCTGATATCCATTTAACATAATTTTTGGTAATTAAATTATACAGTTAGAAGTAAACAAAAATATTAATAAAAATATACATAATTGAAAAGTAAAAATATATACTAAAAATAAAACATGCAAATAAAAAATATAAAAATAAAACAAAATTTTAATATATAGACTATTCAAATTTATGTATCTATATAATTATACACATAAATGTGCTCATACACACACTCCCCCAACATATATTTCCAAGAATCCTGAAAGATAAAATGGATTTTTTAACATGGTCGAACCAAGTTTTTGAAGAAATGAAAAAATGTGAAAAGAAACCTATCAAAACCCTTTCCTCAGATATATATGCTCTGACACCACAGTACACCCAACTTGAACACTTGCTGCTCCCACAGGTCCCATGTCCCTAACACTACATAGTGACCGTGCTGACTTTTAGATACTCAAGTACAAGCTAAATCTCAGAGAGATTAAAATTTGTTTAGTGTAGTTTTAGTTTTTTCACTATTGTGTTGCATTCTAAATCTTTAGCCATTGTTAAATCTCATAACAATAGTCATCCATTAACAATACTATTATATTAACAAGAAGACCCCCCCCGCCCTGATTGCTCTAGAAAGATAAGAATTTTAAGATAAGAGTATTAAGAAAGATAAGAGTATTAAATCACAGCATACTTCCTAAATTTCCCCTGGCTCTGGGCACATCTTTCCAGCTCCCCTCCATCACAGTCCAACATACTGGATCACCTTATCCCGAACCACTGCAAGAGCCTCCTACCTGCTCTCCCTACAGACACTATCAGGTGGCTCTAATCCACTCTCCACATGAGGTCTAGCTTTCTCTTTACAAAGTGCATAACTAATCATGTCACTCCACCTGCCTAAAATCTTTCAAAGACTTCCTATTGTTTTTATGAAATGCTTTCTACCTGAAATATTCTTTTAACTACGCCTAACCTTCCACTTTTCACCTAGTTAATTCCTGTTGATCCTTCAGATTTTGGCTAAGACATCACATCTTCTGTAATATGTTCTCAATCTGTGAGGTACTTTTTCAATAGCAATGTATTAGAGTAACATCAGTCTTCCCTATTAGAATATAAGCACTGTGAAGCAAAGGGGCCACATCAAGTTTTATGCTGGAATGAAGCATATCAAAAAGAAAAAAAAACAGATAGAATGTATCTTGTTTACATAGTAGCTGAGTTCATTTTGCATTCATTGAATTGTTTCTTCAAACTGTCTAAATTCTACGCCCGTCTTTTAATAAAGCACATACTTCTAACAACAGAGCCTCTCTTGGAAGGTTCAGAAAATGACCCACCAATAAAAATCCATCATGTGACTTATCCATAGCATCCTGAGAAGTTTTGTACAAACCTGGCTGGTAAGCAATTGTTGGTAGACTCATGTACCAGATAACATGTAAAAGGCATGTTATCAATGCCTTTTAACTTAAATTTTATTTTTAGGAGGTTTTTAATATCATTAAATGTGTAGAAATCTGTTCTGGATTTATATAATGTAGAATCAGTCTTAAAAATCAGTGTTTTATGAAGAACACTGACTTGATGATGGTTTACAACATTTTTCCCTCCTGACAGGAGACTCATGCTGGGAAAAATAAAACATCCCCATCCTCATTAATGGAAACCGAGCTAAACAGACAACTGTAGCTGTTGAAGGTTACTGAAACTGCCAGGAAATTCTAAAAGCAAAACCAAGGTTGGGCTGGCAGATCAGTGAGCTTTTCATGTACAATCCTGCAATATAAAATCATGCAATTTCTAACATTAATGGACACTTTTGTGAATATTTATTTAGGCACTTCTACATTGTATAGTATAGAAGAGACTAAATAGAGGAATACTTGCTTTACAGAGCTAGATCCCAGTGAAGACATATTGATATGCTACATACTCAGTTTCCGATTTTTGCAGTTGTACTTGAGGTTTATTATTCTATTAACTAAAGAAAATGAGCCTGCATATTTCCTCTGTTATGGGAGTGTGAACCTAAAGACAATTTGCTGAACTAATTAATATACATTTATGCCAGAAGAGCCTAAGATTGGATTTAGGCCATCCCAAGGGCTTCTTTCTTCATTCAGCAATCCATTCATGTAACAAATAGTCATTGAATACCTACTATGTGACAGATTTTTTTGCAGTTCACAAGCTCAGGGAGGACCTCAGGGGATTAGCAGTAAGCAACACTCTCCTGCAGGTAAGTACAGACTTTCCTTAGAGCACACCTGAAGGGAGCACTCATCTGGGGAGCAGTGCCAACCTGCTTTCTCCTCCAGTTCAAGTTTATTCAGCTGCAGTCAGCTCTTCTCCCCCACACACCTACAACTGCACGGCCAATAACTCAGGTAAGCCATTCGTACTGCTCTGCTCGAAAACATTCCAAACTTTGTCACCTAACTTCTTATACAGTGCTGGCCTCATGATGCTTCTGAACATTAAGGAGTTTTAACAACACAGGGTATATTCAATATCTTAAAAGATATCATTTAATTTTCAAAAAATAATTTATATTCACTTAAGCTTAAAAGTTAAATCCATTACAAAGCACACTAAAGGTATGTATTATGGAATAAGAAGTATGACTGACTATAAGCTCCTTGAAGGAGGCCTTATGTTTTTGTATGAAGCAGGCTATTGGCAAATGTCTGTTAAATTGTTGAATTAACTGTGAAAAGTTCAATATAACTCATGAAAAGACAAAAATTTCTGCACTAGAGTGCTGGTGTTCATTTTGATATTCAAGAAGCCAAGGAATCAAGGTGAGCTGCTTTTGTTCCTGCATAAAATCTAAAAATTCTTCTGGCCGTGAATGGTAAATCTACATGAGACAAGGTGAAGAGGATAAGAGTTGTCTGAGCATCCCTATAAACTTCCCTTTGGCCTCTCTGCTAAGTACCTCCCACTCCTCCATATTCACTCATGCAAGAACCTATTAAGCACCTACTATCTGCCGGGTACACTGATGTATACTTGGAATACATCAATGGGGGAAAAAAAAAAGTAAAACTGACATTCTACTTCATTTACTCATCCAAGACTATTTAAAAAAGTGACCACCTGTGGAACTATGCTCAGCACTTGGAATGGTGACGTAGAAACTTAATGTGGCATCTGTCCAAAAGTGAAGCTACTTGCAAATATGACAAAATTAGAAAGCAAAAATTGCCCAGGTATGACTTATCTTACCTTGTAATGAATTGAAGATGGCAAAGAGGTACGTGAAAGGGATATTTAAGGGTCCCCAGGAGAAGAATGAAAAGCCCCATGTCATGCCCAGCAGAAACGTCAGGCTAACCACGCTGCGCAGGTTGCGTAAAACCTCTTCTCTCAGGGTCCGGTTGCTTCTCTTGCCGTTCCTCCCACAGATCTGCACCATTACCACGATGAACATGGCAACGTTCAGAAAAAACATGACTCCAAAATACCCAGCACAGGTCACATAAAATATGACTGGATCCTGAATCCAACAGCTTAAAAAAGAAGAAGAAGAAGAAATGAGAAAGAGAGATTTATTACCATGTCCTGTTTACCTCATACTTTTCTTGACTTAGTTTTGACTATTGCAGTTTTCTCTCTGAAATGCCTTTAGAAAGTTCCTTGTACCTCAGTTTCTTCTTTGAGTAATTTTTTTTATGGCCATCGCCTTAATATCTAGTTATTTAAGTCAATGTTAAAAAGAAAACAAGGTACCTTCTTGAATTTTGAGTTGTATGAAAATACTCTTGGTTGGCTTACCCCAAACCATGTTTAACTTCCTTTTCTCTTGCATGCCTATACATGAAGAATGGGAAATTTAAGTATTCAGTTTAGGTTTTTGTATTTAAGGGATGGCAGTGTGACAAAATGATAAGGAAGCAGAAGTCTGTTTAGGGATTTTTTGGGGGCCTTTTTTTTGCCGGCTTCACTTGGCAGGGCTTGCCTTTCTTGTTCTTTTTTGCTTCCACCCCAAACTTGGTTCCGGGGGTTGCGGAGTTCTTCTTGTGTCTGTGAGACAGAGGACAAGCAAGCTGCAGAATTGTTGGCTCTGACATTTTTAGCCATAAAATCAATGCCAGTGGTTGCTACTTCCACGTTTTTTGTCATTTGTGAAGAGTACTCTCCTACTTATTTAAGCCACACCTAGTTGTGGGTTTGTTACTGTAGGCATAATAATTCCTATTAATATCATTGGTCTATAATAAGGCAAGACCTTATTATAGAACTGTGAGATTCTTATACGGACACTTCTCATGCATAAGTACAATGCTTACATTGATTACAAAACATCCTTATGAGATGGAGAAGGCTATACTTGGTATTTAGAATGATGTATAGATCAGATAATTGATGAAAGAAATTTTAAAACTGTAGTATGTGTAAAGTATAATAGGAGAAAAGTTGACAAATAGTGCAATTTGCAGGTGTCCTAGTGTGTAATCAATGCTATGGAAATGATCAGGTACCTCCAAACTTGGATGAATGATTTCAGGCAATTAAATTTTTGTTAAAATTTTACTGTAAATGGTCATCATTATGGGTTACATCTTCCACACTGGAATATTACCTCCACAAAGGCAAAAGAAGTCCTGAACGTCTTTGAATCCTAGAATTTAACATGACTCCCAGCGTACAGTACATTCTAACTAAATGAAAGTTATCGCACAGCAATTTATTAAATAGTAATTTAAAAGTCCTGTGAGAGTTGACTAACATACTTCTTAAATTCCCGTAACATACTTTTTAAATTTCCTTTTTAACTCCCAATAAGAACTTATTGATTTCTACTTTTAATAAATATTATTCTAAATGCCCCCACAATAGTACTGCTTGTCCCTAGAGCTAACTCTTCTTTACAAATGGAAGATATCCTGAAATCCTGGAAATCCCTGACCTAGCTCCATTATTTTACCCTAGTTCTTGAGGAGCCTTTTGAGTGCTACTTTAGAAATATAAGAGAAAGGAAGACCATGAGGTGGAGCACGGAGACCGGATGACCAACTGGATATAAAAGTGTTATCCATCCATGAAACGTGCAGAGATATGTGGCAGTACAGGTCTCATCTCAGGAATAAGCTCTTTATTCAGTAACTCTTTCCATCAGCAGATATTTATCAATCACTCACGATGTGATTGATAAAATATGTCAGAACTGCCCAAACTGAGCAATATAAAAACTTTGATCTCAATGATGTCATAGTCTGAAGGGAACTTTTCAAATTATTTAAGAACTCACAGACTTCTCTATTCTCTGCATTTCTGCATAACACTCACATTGGCATGGAATCATTCACTGTCGGATATTGCTATTTAACTCTCTTGAAGCTGTGTGTGGGTTTCAGGAGGTGGGAGTATTATGAAATCTCCTCAAATAGCATGGGCCTTCTGAGGCTAGAAGATAGTATCTCAGGCACCTCCTGAATTCCCCCAGATGGCAGAGCAGAGTACAATGTTAGTACGGAAAAGTGGCTCGAACATTTCAGGGCATTCAATGGAATTAATCTGTGGTATAGCAGAGATTTTGGCAAAGACATATGAATTAACTTCAACCTTTTAAAATGAGAGCCTCATTACTGGCATGGAAACTTTATACTTTACTTCAGGAAACAAAGGACATATACCCACCACAAATATATCCCCCAAAAGTTTATTACTTACAATTCATCGCCTTTTTCTTTGCCATAGCTCTCCTTTCCATAGACTTCATTTTGGTTTCTGCTCACCAGAACAACTGATACCACTAAGGCAGGCAAACCTGTTATAAAAAAACCAAAACAAAAGCAAGTCTTTCGAAGCATCTGGGACTGCTTTATAAGACTGATAATGGCAAGGAAAGAAGCAGAAGCAATTAGGCACACGCATGTGCATGCACACACACACTCTGTAACACAGAGTCAAACTTCTTAGAACTGTCAACTTTGTTAAAAACAACAAAATCCCCACTTTGGTGTGGAATATGTCCAACTCCTATTGACAACAATCAGAACCTACTCTTACATGGCCTATATTTAAATATTCTGTTTGCTTAGTGAGACCCCACTAAAGAACTAGAACCCGATTTGAACTGAATCCAGCACCAGTGAAATGTGGATTCATTAATGATGCCTTGTTAGATTGCCAGAGTTCAGGCAGACAATGTCATTGCAGCCTATTTTGTCCCTTTCTGTATAAAGAAAAATCTTTAGAAAAAAGTATTGGAAGACATCGGGGTATCAAGTCTTTGTAGTTTGCTCTCTCAAGAGAATCAAGTAAGTGTTCCCATGTATATTTCAGTGGGGAAATGCTATGCCAACCTATTTCTCTGCAAGATGTTTTCATTGCCTCCTGAGGTAGTGTTGAACATCTTGGAAATGTCTCTCGCTTCGATGTTTCCATCTGAAGGAGATTTGTGAGAAAACTCTAAAATGCCTGGCCCCATGTGAAACCCAGATAAAGAAAGTCACTCAATGAGAAGATCCCAAACAGTCTATTAATACACCATCCATATCTGACTGAGGACTCATGTTAAAAAGTTCAAGGCAGGAATTCTGTTAGTATTCTGGTTGCACACACAAAAATAACATTCTTTCTCTCATTTCCAAGAAACAGGCATGTGTCTAGGGATGAGTATACTAGGAGTCTGAGCTGGCCTTTATATTTTAAAGCATAATGGAAAAGCACCACTGTCTGCCAGTTGCTTCTTTAGACTTGGGTGGGCTGGCTCTGGGCTCAGGAAATAAGTTTGTGGTGACTCAGGAGTGAGGGCTTTTCCTTTACTCCTGAATTTAATGAGTGCTGCTGAAGAGTTTTGAAACACACAATTCTGAAGATGCCTCCCCCCAACCCCTGCTCCTTAGGGTAAGTATGATCTAATCCACATCATTCACAATCTTAAAGTTTCTCTTAACAGTACTAGTCTTTAAAAATAAGATTTTCCTATGAAAATATGGCAATTTTCATGTCAGAAAGGCAAAGCCAAAACGTTTTAGGAGAAAGGATGATGAGAAAGTGGTGAGTGTGTACAATGCATGTTATTCGGGTGGCCACTTTTCTAAATGCCCCGACTTGGCCATTGCGCTATCTATGCATGTAACAAAAAAATGTACCCCATAAATTTTTACAAATAATAAGTAAAAAAAAAAAATGTAGGAGTCTTACCCCAGCCAACGATGCAAAATTTTAATATATATCTGCGAATGTAAGTGTTAAATACTTTAACTAGAGCAATGTACATGTGAATTGCTTCTAGCCCCATCCAGGTAAATGTTGCCAGAAGGAAGAAATGTAACAGGGCAGCCACAGCAGTGCAAAGTCCATCCACACCAAAGGAGGTGATCCAGCTGTCCAGGAGGAAGAGGAGATTCAGGAACAACAGGGCTGTACTGAGGTTCATCAAGATTTTGGAGGGATAATCCCTTCGCAATTTCCTAAAGAAGGAAAAATGAAATATATATGGTAACTAATATTGTAAATAAACATTTTAAGAGCAGGTAGTAAATTCATATCTTATACAGCTCTGTAATAATTTAGGTAGCACCATCTTTCTGACATGGTTCCACTAGCAGGAGGGATAAAGATATTTATGAGTATTTGGCAAGTTATGAAGAGCTTTTAAATATTAATTTTACTTCAAAACTGTTTCCAATTGTTTACAAAATTCCCAATTGGTTTCAAGACATTATTTTTAATTCAGGGCAAATTCTAGAGTTATAAGAACATTTTTATTAAAAAATTATTTTTTTTCCTTGTTTTGAGTTTTTTTGTTTTTTATTGGTTTAGGGATCTTTTTAAAAAATTTCCTGTTTCAGGACTAATTTTATAAGATTTATAAAGCAAATGTTTTCATCTTTTACAATGTAGAAAGCATCTTATACAATTTTTACTTACTTAGATATTAATCATTTCTAACAGATTTGAACGCATTTTAAAAAATATAGTAATTATAAATTAAGATTCTATAGCTGGAAAATTCATGTTGTATGATCTATCTTTTGAGAAACCTGAACATTAAAAGTGAACCACCCTACATGATTCACAAAGTGTGTAAATGTTTTTAAAAGCCAAGGCAATTTTCTTATTCACATTTGGAATAGTTAGCACTGGGCTTGGCAGATAGAAAAATACTTACTCAAAAGCAACATATGTCAGGAGAGTTGCTGCTGAAAAAATAGCAGATATCCCACACCCAATATAGCTGATGAAAGTGAGGACTTTAGTGTTTCTTGCATCTATCTGTGAGGCACTTCTTGGAAGGTCCTACAGAAAACATCAGAAGCAGCTGTAAGAATCTCTCTTTTCATGAGAACAGTTGGTTCACTAGAAAAGTTCATTGCTAACATTAGAGCAGCTTAATCTCAGGGGCTAAAAACAACAGTGTAAGTCAATACTGAAATTTCCATTTATTGTATTCTTTTGGATCAATACATGAAAAAACTGCAGCATTATTTCAGGAAGGAGTTGCACACTGCTTTTTATCATTATCTTCCCTCCCAAGCTCTTTGCACATGAATATAACTTGAAGAACAAAACTACCAAGTTCCCCAACAAAGGTCTTAAATTATGAAAAAAGTTTGTTTCATGATTTTTCCTTCTACATTGATTTTTACCAAAATGTCAATAAAATGTGTTACACACACAGCCCTTGAGTAAGTGGTGTGTGTGTGTGTGTGTGAAATGAAGAAATGTGAGTCAGTTCCAGGTGTGACTGACGCAGTAAGGAACAGACACAGCACTGCTGCGACATCAGGAAATGCTCAAAGTTATGGAATTCAACAGAAACAGGGGCTCAGAGTCAGAAAGGACTTCCCCTGTCTTCTTACCCCAGGAATTCCTCAAAATACTGGGAGGACGTGAGACATCCAGGACGCATGGGATGGGGTTTGAGCCAGCGCCACTTGACTCACAGATAGGCTACCACAATCAACATTTCAGTCACTCCAGAATTTCATTAGGCCAGAGAAATTAGTCACGGACTTGGGGGAATCTCCTAGTGATGTGTCACTACCTCTTGAAAAACCTATGGCTCCTATCTGAGTAAGACAGTCGACTTGCAAACTGCAATTAAATCCAGAATTTGAAATAAAAACTAAATGATCCTGTTTATTAATACATATTTACACACAATTCTCATGTTTTATACTTTTTAGAGAATTAAAATATGAAAATATTTATCCTTTTGAACTAGCCAATATGAAAATGTACTCATGTTAAAAATATAAAAATCAGTTTTACTACAAAGAAATGTAGCAGAGATGATTTTGTAGATTAGGAGATATAATTATAGGTATAGGATACATTTTTTTAAACTTCTCAAATGGTAAATGTGTCACGGGACAGTGTAGACTCTGGGAATATCTTATACAAGTGAATAAAGGGTTTGTAAATCAAGAAAACCTCTTAACAAAGTCTGGGTGATCTGGAAAAGTGCAAAGGATATAGATACATCACCATAAAGGATAAATTCTGGAAAGGTTTTATACCAGCAGTTGATAATACTACAAAAGCAGCCAAGGTGGAAAACAGAATCTAAAAATGCATATCTCCACAAATGCATAAAATTAACTGTTTATCAGATGGCAACAGAAAAAGTAATATAATTACAAATTCATAATAAAATTTAAACAATGTTTGAAGGAACTAACCATTCAAAGTATTGGGCAGCCAACCGCTGGTTGTATATAAATCATCTCTGAACAGTAGCATTTTTTTTAAAGATAGGGTCTCACTCTATCACTCAGGCTGGAGTGCAGTGGTGTCATCATAGCTCACTGCAGTCTCAAACTCCTGGGTTCAAGCAATTTCCCTGCTTCAGCCTCCCAAGGAGCTGGGACTACAAGCACGCTCCACCAAGCCTGCTAAGTTTTCTATTTTTTGTAGAGATGGGGTCTCACTCTTGGTCAGGCTGGTCTTGAACTCCTGAGGTCCTCCCACCTCAGCCTCCCAAAGTGTTAGAATTACAGAAGTGAATCACTGCACCTGGCCTGAATTTTGTTACTATTATCTATTTAATATTCAGCTTACAACACACCCATCATGCTCGTTCACACCTGAAATATTTAAATGAATTACGCTAAAGCTTATTTACCTGAATGAGTAAACATATTAAATAAGTATTTTCTGAAAGAATGCCTGCTGTCACTTTTGGAGAAAAGAGAACATGGAAGGAAACTGAATTTTCCTTTTCAATTACTTAGGGAAAACATGCTATCGTTTAATTGTTCATTTTAATGCTCTAAGAGTGAAGAAAAATATTTATACTTAAGAAAGTTAAACAGTTATTTTCTATGACTTGTCAGCTTTTAAAATGATTTGTTCTTACCCGTCAGAGCATTTATGCACTTGACTGTCAGGAAAATTACAACGTGCAGCGCTGCCACACGACAATGGTCATTTACATAGATGCTGGAGCCAAATGCTACATCCCACGTCTCCCGGCTGCTTCCTCCCGGTCCCCGCAGGAGGAAGGGTGTAAGATTTAAAGGAGGTGATAAACACAACCTGATGTCTGTGATTCTAATTTGAAAAGCTTTATTGCCTCAGCTCACAGTACTCCCATCTCCCATTAAAAAACAAATGTGGTTTGGTCCCTTTGTGGGGACTAAACAGAAACAATGCCTACAGTACAATCTGGAGGGTGCCCTGGACCCCAGCAAGGTGTGTGCAAAGTCACACGTTTACCGGGTCAAAGGTAAAGGTGTAAGTCTATGGATGAATTCAAACAAGTCATTGGATATGGGGTAGATCTTGAAAATTTGGTAGGATGAAAAAAACACACAGATGCGATCTAATTTTTATTTAAAACTGTTGGGCAGGCTGGCTAATGAGATAAATAAAACAGGGCCATGGGAAGGGAAGGAGGATGAAAAAAAGTAAAGAGTGATATGGAGGCCTAAGAGTGAGAGACTCATCACACCCACCATCTCTCCTGCAGGACTGAAGCCTCTACCCCAATCCTAGCCACCAGTCAGTCTGTCCCAACAAGCTGCCACCTCCAGGAGGGAGATCACCTGGCACAGTACCTGGCATGACGTGACATTCAAACACACTGAATGATAACATAAGGAAAAAATTTGACCTCACTTCTCCCAGTTCCCGTCCATGTAAATATCACCTGACATTTTCTTCTTTAACTTTCCCTCCATCCCCACCCCTCTGTCTCCCTGTCTGTCTCCTTGACTGTTTCTCTCTTAACCCAAGGCTTTCACAGGGATTTTCTTGTTTCTAGCATTATTTATATTATCACGGTTAATGCTATAAGAAGGGGGGGAAACAGGGGGGTAGAGTTCTTTTCTATAATGACTTTCACATATTTCTAATATATGATCTCTGCTAATTAGATTCTTCATTAAAAATCAAGATTCCAATGAAAAGGATCAGGAAACAATTCAAGAAACACATAAGCTAAAAAGATGGACTCATAAAAAGGAAGTGTGCTTTCCAAAATTATATCAGGTCCAGACGAGCTTAGAACCCCCCCCCCTTACCATCAGAACTCCAAAGTGTGTGAAGTGGTTACACAGGCAGACCGTCTCGTTTGGGTCTGGACCTCTGTGTGTGACACATCCTGACGTGTTCCACGCTCCAACACTTGCTGTTGAAGGAATCAACAAACAGTGTGAGAATCACAGCAGGTCAGTGTCTTATCAATAATGGGTGAGGCCTTTAGGGAAATCGGCCTCAGTCTCTTCTACCCTACAGAGTTTATCTGTAAAACAGACACTACTATTAAGGATTCCTGGAATCACTGCGTGTTAGCGCTGGCTGGGCAGGTAGAGATTATTTGGTCAGTGGTTTCAAACTGTGTACCACTGAGGGCCTCGGGAGTTCCAAAAACATTTGATTCAAGTTTAATTTTTTTAACATATCTTAAAATAAATTTCTATGAAAAGAATACTCCTTTTCAAATAGGTTACATGCTAATGAACTCTCTGGAGACCAACACATTTTTTTGGACAGTCAGTCTACATTTTTGTGAAGACATAACAAAGAAGGCCTGCTTTCTTAGAATGTGCTATTATGTACATGGCAGTCATGGATGCTGACAGCTTATTTATAAATGGCTTGGACACATCTTTCATGGTATAAAATGGAGTAAGAGCAATTCATATAGTGCTGAAGTTTTTGATCTATTTGTTTGAATAACATTTTAAGATACAAGGTGATATTTTTACTATGTATATGAATAAATCAGGATCTTTTCAAAACTATGCAACTCAAAACCAAATAATTAATTTAAAAAAAAGCTGTCCAGCTGTGATGAGGACTATCAGAAAGAGAAGGTTTAGCCACTTTTAGGCTATATTTTTTATCAGGGGAGCAAGCCTGCATTGACACCGGAATGAATTTGGCCACAATCATCCCAATGAGGGACTCTGAGGGCAGGTGACCCCAGGGGACAGGTAATGGGGGTTTTATTCCTAGTCCTTCCCCTCAGAGAGATTTCCACATTTTATGCCTAATTATTTGTTTATCCCTTAATTTTGCCTTCCTCTCTTTACTGTTGAATATTATTTTGGAGGCTGTTAATTTATTTCAAGGGATACCTGTTCATTATAACCATTCCTATATTTACATTCCCTTAGTCTACTTGTTCATCCCCTTATAATTTGAGGTCTGGAATCTGGACCTCAAATTATATGCCTTGTGTCTATCAAATAATCTCCTCAGATGTCTCCTAGAAGAATGAGATTAAATGTATGCTTATGTTCATGTAAAAGTGGCAATAAAAATGCATACTGTATTTTACAAATAACTGAAATCAAAGAGGTTGTTCCAATATTAATAAAAAAGAAAACAGGGTCAAGTCTGCCTATTTCTTCTTGCAATGACTAAAAAGTTACAGAAATTGGAACCGGCATCCCAAGCTACCTAAACTAACTTTTGCAGCTCAGTTGCCATTTTACACTTACATTGTGACTCACTCTGGTTTAGGGTGGAATGAAAGGAAACGGGGGTGTCTAACAATGTTTAAAATTCAGTTGTTATCTATATTAAGACAACCAATATTTTAAAACTTACTGTTTTTGTTCATATCCCAGAAGGCACAGATGGGCTGATGCACTTCCTATATTAACATAAGAATAAACATGTGAAAGTGTGTTTAAAATGCCATGATTTAAATATGGCAAAAGAGTTAAAATGCCAAGGGTTTCACAAAGAAATAGATAGGCATGAGCTATGCCAATATAACCTGAAAATGTCAGGCAATGTAGAATCTAGGGGGATCTCTCTCAAAGAGACAAGTGAAAATCACCTATAACTTCATGAGGAATCATATTATCACTGATCTGTAGGTTACCATATATGTCCACATCATTAAATACTGACTCCACTACCATTCTTGGCACAGCTCTTTACATTACAATTCCACATCACCTTCAAAATTCTTCTTTATATGGGTGTTTACATTAAAAAGTCAAAAACAGAGACTCAAAGAGATATTTGTAGATCCATGCTCACAGCAGCATTATTCACGATAGTTAAAACCCAAGTGTCTATTGATGGGTGAATGGAAAAACAAAATCTGGTATATATGTACACTGGAATATTATCCAGACTTTAAAAAGGAAGGAAATTCTGACAAGCTACAACATGGATGAATCTTAAAGACATTATGTTAAGTGAAATAAAGATAGTCACAAAAGGAGAAATAGTGTATGTTTCCACTAACATAAGATACTCAGAGTAGTCAAATTAATAGTCATGGAAAGTAGAATGGTGGTTACTATGGGCTGGGGAAAGGGAGAATAGGGAATTAGTATTTAATGGGAACAGAGTTTCAGCTAGGAAAGATGGAAACAGTTCTGGAGGTGAATGGTGGTGATGGCTGCACAATAAGAATAGAACTGTACAGATGATTAAAATGTTAACTTTTATATTTTGTATGTTTCACCATGATAAAAAAAGATCCTCCTTTATAGATGAAGGGGCTGAAACAAATGAAACCAAAGTGTAGCACAAAGAGGTCTCAGGTGGTTGGTGACAAAGGAGGCTAGCTATTAGATGACTTAATTTCCAGTCCTCACTCCCTGCCTACCTACAGAATGAATGGAGAATCATGACAAGGACCTGCCACAAAGATGACAAAAACCTATTCCTAGGCCCTCTGGGACAATAAGAACCCCCAAATAATTTTATCAAATAAATAGATGAGAGCAATGGTAATGAAGCAACAAGAAAAGCAGTATTTGCCAAGATTTTAAACAAGCTAACCATTCAAAAAATAAGTCGACCTTCCATGTCTCCTTAGGCTTGCTTTATTTGAAGTAATTAATGTATGTTGTTTCTTAAACACAGTAAGTAGCCCTGTTCCTTCTGAATATTAAGTCCCAGATAAGACATATTCCCCCAGCTGGTGCCCTTTACTGTGCCTTCAGCACACAGCCTGAGCAGCTGTTCTCCATCTCTGCCCCCTCCCAAAAAGGGCCAGTTACTTTTTATCATGGAGGGAAAAAAGGCCTGACCATTCTCTGAAATAATCTGCCTCTGTTGAATTGTTACAGGGAGCATCTTCTTACCTGAGTTCCTATATGTTTGATTTTAATTTGAACAGGAATTGTCAGATTCTGGATGGTAATGTTTCCAATACTGCACGCCATCACATAACTCACTAAGGTTTTTCTTTGGGGTCCTACATCCTTTTAAAGAAAAACAAAATCGCGTGTGTTACAAGGACACACTTTTGTTTTCCTTTGGTGCTCCAAAGTAAGCAAACGGTCAGCATTTTTTACACTTAAGATCTTCAATTCTAGAACATCCTGTTTATAACATCCAATTGCTGGCTTTCCTGAAGGAGCTTTGCTATTTCCCTTATTATAATAAATACATCGAGGGGACGTTACGAGCCAATATTGTAAGGCGATGTTCATAAAACTCCATTCTTGATTGCGGTGACTGATGTCAGCCACTTAACATCTGAAACAATGCAAGCTAATAAATAATATAAACTCATAAAAAGCTGTGAAACAATTAGATCATTTCCCTACTCTAGAAAATAGATGAAGTTGTTTTCCTTTACAGAAGTATGAAGGAAGTATGGTGTGGAAAATAAAAAGCAATCCATCTTTCACATCCATGCCAATAGCCTGACGTGTTTACCAACTTGCACCTAAATGTAATTCTCCTGTAATTAAAGTCCCATGCAGAACTTCTAACTTCTTCTATGACTGGACACTTGCCAGGTATCTGCAGATTCTACTTCAGCGATAAGGCTGTCAGGAAATGGAATCTGTGCCACACAATGATTTGGACCAATGGGCTTTCTCTCCAGCAAGATTCACCTCTATTTTTTTTCTTCCCCTTGTGTTTCTTGTCAAACCTCCTGAATTTCTCTCTACATCTCAGCTTATGAATCAGTTGTTTTGGAAAAATTGCAGGATTTCTTGACTTCCAAACAAAACTCAGCATCCAAATATAGTTTTTTTTTTCTTTTCTTTTTTTATTTCAGCATATTATAAGGGTACAAATGTTAAGGTTACATATATTGCTCTTGTCCCTCCTCCCCCCTCAAGTCAGAGCTTCAAGTGTGATTTTATGTGGTGGTCACTATCAGTAAAGTCATCTATTAGTTGGTGATACCCAGGCTTTTATCAAAAAGTACTCATCTTACCCACCATGTTAGGGGACTACCATAGAAGCCTTAATGTTTTTTCACTTTGCTATAAATTTACTTTAAAAACCAAATGCACATGTTTCCTACTATCAACTTTGATTGGGAGATACCTAAGGAGGAGGAGAAAATGATGTAGAAAAAAACTAAAAATAAAATAATGACAGATCCTTACAACTCTTGAGAGTTGTCTCAAACTCTTCCCACAGGGCTAAACCTGGCCTCTGAACTAGACCTCCTTTCTGTACCATTCACCTTTTGGGACACCTACTGGGACACTTTTTTTTATATTGTTTTTAAAGGTGACATTGTTGTAAGCGTTGAATTACAGTAATTTTAACAAATGCAGTTGTATGTGGTCATAGCTGTAAATTCTAATAAATTATGTGTTTTTATATAAAATATATAAATTATAAAATTTTTATATAGCTTGTTCCAAAATCATTTGTTAATAACATTTTTAAATTTTGGAATTAATTACTGTCAATGATTCCATGGTATTCTTTTTCCTTACCTACAACCCACTTCCATTCCTCTACACATGACATATATATAGGGCAGATCTATTAAAAACAATTATACTTGGCCTGAGACTTGCTATTTTCTTTTATATAGGTCACATTGTTTGCTATACATTAGTATCTTGAACTTAATAGATAACTTTTATTTTTTAAATAGGGCTCTGCAAAACTGCTCTAGATTGGGTTGTATTTACAAAGGCAACCAGAGGTTACCAGTGTTTGCTGGCAAAGGACCTTCTAGTATCTAGAAATGATGCCAATAAAAATGATAATATGTGCTCAGCACAATGCCACCCAACTCTGCGGATGTGTGAAAGCCAAAGGTCGCTTGAAATACTAATGGGAAAACTGATTAAAGCCAAGAATGCTGTTCATTATGTAAACAGAGCTTCCTGCTAAATTAAAAAAAAATCCTTTCCTTTGCTGTACAATTTCTTTAAAGGTCTAAATGACTAGAGAACATAAAATATTTAACAAAAAGAATAACAAATAGTAACTTCTTCACTAATTCAGTTTCAAATTGTATCATGCAAATCCTAGCCTAATATTTGATTTATTTTAAAAACTGGAATATTCTATTAAGCATATTATTATGTGAAATAAAATATCTGTATTAAAATTTTTCATTTCTAAGAATACAAATTTTTCTAAACCCCTGATACATATCAAAAGAATCGCAAGTTTAACCTTTGAGCAAAGAAACTTCATTTGCAATTGAAAAATAATTCAGTGAATGCTTACCTGGAAAAGTCCAGTTCTGTTGAAAAAAATAAACTGTGCTCTTCTAACTAATACAGAATCTTCCTGACTTAAATTCTCAAGTAAGTTTGGAGGCAAAATTACAGAAGCCAGTGGATCCATTTGTCTGTTCCCAAAATCCATCTATCACACATAGAGAGATATACTAGTCAATTAATCACAACTACATGGTAATGATAACTTAATCCACATGCTAAGTTAAGAGAAAAATTTCCAAGTATCAAGTTAGCTGGGACTGGGGCTTCCCTTGATCTCTACAGCAGTCATTGCAACTGCTGGATAAATCTATTACAGAGCCATAGATCTCATTTGGGTTTTTCATGTGTAGAAAAGGAGAAAATGTGTTGGTTTTAACTAAGGCAAACTGAGAAATTTATAAATCAGTCAACATTTCCAGATATAAAAATTACATTTACTATTATCAGATTTTGAGGTTTTCTCAAAACAGTGAAAAATAATAACTACCAGAGAAAAAGAAAAGAGACTGAAATTAATTTGCTGATTGCAAAGACTGAGGTATCTCTGCAAACAGGCAACAACTGAAGTTTTACGAATACTCCTGGATCAATTTTCCTGAAACCGTAGCTCAGGCCAAAGAGAGCTTTCTTGAAAATGCTCTTGTAATGAGACTGGGGTTGATCAAGTTTCCACTTAAAATATGAAACAGAATTACCCAAAAGAGCTCTTAGTCTACAGGAGAAAAAAGGTCTTCTCTATCTTCTGATTGCAGACTTTTTATATTTTCAGTTTGGTCTATCTCTACAGCTAAAGAAGTATTGTGCTCCACATACTCTGCCAGGTCAAGGACAATGCCCCATTCATTTTGTTTGCCCTGGTGGCTAAAGTTGACACCCAGTAGAAACTTGAAAATTATTGGCTGAAGCATCACTTGAACCTGTCAAAGGGACTCTCTATTAAACTTGCCCCAGCTTACTTTTCTAGCCTTGCTGCCACCTGCAATTCCCAGACTTCTACATCATTCCTTCTCCAAGTGTGATCCTCAAACCAGCAGCCTTAGCAACACATGGGGACTTGCTAAAAGCTCAAATTTGGGGCACCTACCCAGGACTGATTAAATTAGAAACTCTGGGGTTAAGGTCCAGCAATTGATCTTAACAGGTCCTCCAAGGAGATTCTAATGCTCGTTTTGAGAATCACTAGCAAAGAGAATGCTCCCTGCTTCTTTTTACCTTCGTGCCCTTAATAAAGTTATTTCTTGTAATTGAACCGACCCTCACCCTTACCCGCAAGACGGTGGCCCTTACTCATGCTTTAATACCTAGCTGTGATATCACCTCTTGTAGAAGCTTAGCTGACCACCTCTGCCATCCAGATTATGAAAATGTACCTCCTGTGTGCTTTCACAAGACCTTGTGGCTACTGCTATAGTTAAACTTAACCGATGTTCAGACTTGATTGGCACTTCATGGACCAAGATCTCTTTAAGCAGCTACTGCTAAGTGATTGGCAAGTTTATATACTTTAGCCAATTAAATAAAATTAAAGAAAATACTGGTTCATTACCTGGTAATATGATTCATTATTGCTTGGAAGGCCAATGCTAAAATTTGAAATTGCATTTGTTCCTGGGGACAGGGATGATACTCCAAGAGCCAAATTCCGAGTTGTAATATTCACTTGTGGTGTGCTACTCAGGTCTATCTTGAAGGCCAATTCATCGATTGTTTTTAAAGCTCTAAAGAAATGACAACAATATCCTGTTAAGTAATACAATGTTTTAGGTACTAAACATACATGCTTTGCTGCATGGCGAAATACAAACCAAATAAAATTGTATTTAAATTTTCTGATTTTTTTTTTTTTTTTGAGACAGAGTCTCACTTTGTTGCCCAGGCTAGAGTGAGTGCCGTGGCGTCAGCCTAGCTCACAGCAACTTCAAACTCCTGGGCTCAAGCAATCCTCCTGCCTCAGCCTCCCAAGTAGCTGGGACTACAGGCATGCACCACCATGCCCGGTTAATTTTTTTGATATATATAATTAGTTGGCCAATTAATTTCTTTCTATTTTTTTATAGTAGAGACAGAGTCTCGCTCAGGCTGGTTTTGAACTCCTGACCTTGAGCAATCCACCCGCCTCGGCATCCCAGAGTGCTAGGATTACAGGCGTGAGCCACCGCGCCCGGCCCTAAATTTTCTGATCTTAACATGAATATTCACAAAATTACCCCCAAACACAATAATATATGGATGGGTCCTCAAGAGAAATACCTGCCTTGAGGAAAATCAACAACTAAATTATTCTGAACAAATACTGTTTTTCTGGCCTGCTGTGGTGGTTCACACCTATGCTCCCAGCACTTGGGAGACTGAGGGAGGATGACTTAAGACCAGGAGTTCAAAACCAGCCTGGGAAATATAGCAAGACCCCATTTCTACAAAACACTAAAATAAAAATAATTAGCTAAGCATGGTGGCATGTTTCTATAGTCCCTGCTACTCTGGAGGCTAAGGCAGGAGGATTGCTTGAGCCCAGAAGTTGGAGGTTGCAGTGAGCTGTGATTGTGCCACAGCACTCTGGCCTGGGTGACAGAGCAAGACCCTGCACTGCCTCTAAAAAATAAAAAATGAAAAAAAAATATTGTTTTTCTTTCATCTGAGTCTCTTTTCCTTCACAAAATGCCCTCCCTATTTTATAACTTAGTGAGAATCAAAGGAAATAATGGAGTGCTTTGTGAACTGCAAAACACTGTAAAAATGTTTACAATTATTATTTTATAGAAAAAGTGAGAGAATACATCTTAAGAAATAAAAATTTTTCATCAAAGAAATGTGGTTAAAGGGAAGGAATAAACAAAAAGTTAAACACCTTCATATTAATAAACTAAATGAAGTAACTGTATGCACATTGAATTGTATAACCTTGGTTAACTAAACTTTTAGAATTTTTCAAATAAAAAATGAAATACTGATTATGCTTTTCTGGGACTATTTATATATCTTGCCAGATGACAACTAAAATTATTTTGCAAATTTCATTTCTCAAAAAATAAAAATAGAGAAATTTTAAATTCATGTTGTAAATGACCTCGGGAATGCATGTTATAGAGATTTGAATTATAAAGTCTGGGCACAAAGTATTCAGATACATGAGAAATTATATATAATAATATATTTATCCAATAAATATGAATATTACTCTCAAGAAAAAGAAATACTTACTCAGATGAAGACTCAAGCAAGTCACTGTCTGAACTGCTTAAGATATTAGAAAATATATTCATTAGAGTTGAGCCAAGTGTTATATCAATGTTTTCTTCACTATTCACAATCCTTTTGACCTGTTCCACAATGCTGGTGATATTGGCTGAGGTTAAGTTCTGCCCATCAGCAGTCATATTTAAAATCTGATTGGCATCATTTGCTTCGTCTAAAAAAAAAAAAAAAGTAGAAAACATAACGTATAAAGTTTTACTTATGTATTTTGTGCATTTCTAAGAATCCATAGTATGGTGTGATATTCCACTTTATAGTTGAAGCAGGAAAGTGGGGTTCCTGTGTGTATTCCCTTTTCATTATCTTCATATTTCATTTTTTTTTATTTCAAAACATCAAGGGGGTACAAATGTTTATGGTTACATGGATCACTTTTGTAATGTTTGAGTCACAGCTATAAGTGTGTCCATCACCCAAATGGTGTTCACTGTACCTGTTAGGTAGGTTTTCACCCATCCTCTCCTCCCAGGTCCCCCCTGCTTGATTTCCACTGAGTTTTACTTCCTTCTGTGCACATGTGTGCCTCTTGGTTAGTTCCAATGTAATAGCAAGTATGTGTGGTATTTGTTTTTCTATTCTTTAGGTACTTCACTTAAGATAATGGTCTCCAGTTCCATCCAAATTGTTGCAAAAGGCATTAATTCAGAGAGTACTCCATTTCTTTATACACAGAGACTAACTTCTCTCTTTAGTAAGATACAAATAACTTGGAGGGACCAATGATCACCTATTATTCTAAGAGAAATGTCCCTAGAATCACTGAATATGTATATATTTGCAATTTAAAAACAATACAAAACTATAAAACACTGATGCAAATATCAATTTATATATTTGCTTTAAGTCTTCTCTCAGACTTCCTTACTATTTCCAATCTCTTTCAGAATGAACAGAACAGAAAGTTTGAATAAGGAAAAAATGTATTTTCTACCTTAAGTGAAACAATCATTTGCCTGACTTTTAATATTAAAATAGTATTACACAGCAGAACAGGTCTGAAGACAATGAAAACAATAAAGCATGAAGTCATTTCGTTTTGTTCTTGAGAACTGAAGAAAAACTGCTCACTTACTTGAACAGTTGGAAAGATCAAGGGGCCCCCAGTAGGCTAAAGATGAGTTTGTAGCACTCTGATAACTATGAAATAAAAAAGATATTTCAAATATTTCATATGAATGACATCATAACTAACAAAATATGTTAATATGTTTTAGAATTTGCCTTGATAGCTAGGTAAGTTTAATTTGTAAATATAACTGTAATATGCTGAAATAAATCTGATACTATTTATTTTTAATGGGGAAAAATCTGTAGCAGACATCATGGAAACAAAATATTAGCAATATTCTATATCCTAACCTAGGATGCACTGGTCAAGTACTGCTTTAAGAGTTTCATAGGTAAAATCTGATTTTTCTTACACATAACTGTAAAGGAGATTATAATCCACATTTTATAGAAGAGGTAATGGATTTAGGTAAGTCAAAGAACCTTCAAAGTCACACACCAGGAAGAGGTAGAGTCACATTTCAAACTCAAATCCATAAATCTCCAAAGCCCCCTTCTTTCCTCCCTACCAAGTATCAAACACAGCAGTAAATGCAAAGTATTTACACTTAGGCAGTTTCCATTTCTGAATTTCTTCCAAGAAAACTCTAATTGGGAGTGGGTGAAGAATTGGATTTGACTTGCTGTTCTGCAAATCCCTGCAACCATCTCGTCTCTGAGGTTCCCATTCAACATTTAGGGAAAATACCCTAACATTTTCTGTCGGAAGATTACCCCAACTTGGACCTTATCTTTATTCCCTCTTTGCCTCTTCTCCCACCTCCAAAAATAATCACTCCAAATAATTAAAAAGTTTTGGAATTTCTGGTATATGTTCCAAGGCTTTAAACTGGCTAGGTTCACCTATATACAAGGTGCTTTGCTCTGATGCTACCCTCTGGGTTTCAAAATTCTTCAATCCTTCTTTGGAGAGGGCTCAATTAGCATATTGCTGGGAGGAAACCGTTGCCTTCTGGGTAACCTACCTAGTCTATTTACAATTTAGACATACACAGAGATTCCTGCCCTTCTTTTCAACGAATACAATGCATGAGAACTACCATGCACCACATGTGACTCTGGAAAGGTAAATAACGTGGAGCTTTGCTGGCAAGAGTCGATGAAAGTATTACCATATCCGTGAAACAGAAAAGCCAGGCTTGTCTGGACAAGGAAGCGTGTATTGAGCAGGTGTGATGGCTGGCCAATAATAGCCTTTGGGTTCCTCCACGTCAGGACATATACCTACATGAAAATAAGAACATGAGAAATATTCATCTATTCTTTGAAGTTAGAGGTTAGAGTTGCAGGTTGAAAGCAAAACGACAATCCTTGTAATCAGGTATTTATTTCATGTAATAGTAAAATACTAGTGTTTTATGTTCACAATTTGTAAAAAAAATTAGAAATTAGGAAAAATATACATTTAATACATTTCAGATATGAAAATTATATTTTTCAAAACCATTAAATTAAAAAAAGTTATGCAAGTATACACATGAAACATACATATCATTCTAATGCAAATAATTTGCACATAATATTAGTAAAATAAATTTTATTCAAAAATTAAACACTATGGAAAATGAAAATAATCCTGAAAAATTCAAAATGTAATTTGATCTTTTCAAAGCCTATAAAATAGTGCATCAATAGCGTTATCATTGAGTTGTGGTCATATTTTATGGAAATGTTCCAGCTGTCTGAGATCATCTACTGCCTGGAAGTTACTGAGGAAATGGCAAGAAGACAACTGTGGGCAAACTCCACGTCTTTCCCTCATGTCTTCATCCCCAAATCATCCCACTTTTTGCTTGAAACTCTCTGGGAAAGTGTCATGACATAAAGGACTCAGATTTTACATTTTAAAAACATCATAGTAACAGCAATATATCAGCAACAACGATAAGACTTCATATTTCAGTGATGAAAAAGAGCAAGTTATGCTGGACTACTGGGAACCACAAGTGCAGTCAACAATCAAAAAAAGCTTTAAAATTGTCAGGTTTTAGCCTTTTATTTTTAGATTAGTAGAAGCTTCTCTCCATAGACCCACTTGCAGGAAAACAATAAAGTGCAGAATTTAATTTAAATGGTATAAGTTAAACATCTAGCTATGCAGAGCGAGTTGTCCTGGGATCCTCCAGCCACTGAAGACAGAGAGGGGCTGGTCCTCCCAGGGTATCTCAGTCACATACGAGCTACCATTCCTCAGGCTCTTTCTCTGCAGACTCCTGTGTGGAAAAGGGTAGCAGGTTGTGCTTCCCCTACCCCCAAAAAGCACTGTTTGTTAGGAAGCAAATATTATCACGCAGATGCTCAGAAACTGTATATTATTATCATTATTATTACTATTATTAAACATTTGCATTTGTCCATCTCTATGAGTTCTCTGTAACCATGTACATGGACACAGTGGAGGCGACTGGTTCCTCACAGAAGAGGAAACGCCTGGTTCTTTACTACACCGTGATTCTGACCTCAGTCACAGTCACCTTCTTCAAGGCCAAGGAATACCTGCTTCCCCTACCTCAACCTCCTGAGTGTGAAGTGTTTTATTCTTTTGATCTCTACTGATGTATCTAATCATAATCATATAACACCAGAACAATTACTTTTTGGTTTGTCCATATTTTTGAACATTTTGCCTTCCTAAACTATTCCCATCAGCACTCATTCGTTCATTTACTCAGTATTCAAGTCCCAGGGAGTGTGCTGAGATCTGGGGGCAGGTGGGAAGAAAAAGTTTAACTAAAACATGATTTTAAGCCAGAGATTATCATTTAAAGAAAGTATACCTAAGAACATAAATACATCCACTCAAATACTATGGTCTTCTATGTGTGTAATGCTCTAGGTATCTGGACAGTATGAGGTGGAGGCTCAAAGACAGTGATGCCTATTTACCCATGATGATGTTAGAAAAGGCTTCACAGAAAAGGTGGCTTGAAAGCTGTCTTTAAAACTAGGTAGGTGATAATCAGGTGGACAAGGGGAGTGGAGAAAAGCAGTGTAGGCAAAGACTGAGAAAGGATGTGGAAAGGAGCATGGCCTGCTTGGGGAAGTGCAGGCAGTGCACATGTGTGGCTGGAGATTGGGATGTGGATGGTGTCCAGGGGAGAATGGATTCTACGTCCAAGAGAACTCCCAGATTCCTGGCCTATTCCTGCAAAGACAGTGGTATTGTTAGATAGGGAACATCAGAAAAGGAGATTTTTTTTATAAAAGGAAAGTGCCTTCTATAACATCTACCACATTGGAGTTCCTATATGAACATATATACACTCTCTTCATCCCTAAAGTTGAAGCCAGTGATGGTCAAGGTTATTCTGGCATTTTGCTTGTATGTATATGTTCTTAATATTTTCAAAATATGTCCCTAAAATAAAGTACAAACTCTCTTCTGCTTCCTCCATTCCCTTGGATTCCTAAGTACTGGACTGATTCCTTTTTTATTTTGGGGGGGGTATGTCACTTATTTATTATAATGTCACCACTATGATGAACTTCATCAGATGGAAATATTTTTACATAATCAAATAGCACATAAAGGAAGAATATGTCTTTTTTTTCCAACTAAACCCACATATATAGACATATAAAATGCATATTATAAAAAAATTAAAGTCACTTACCCATTTGTCTCACATTCACCGTATCTAGCCGCAAACCCTCATCCAGGGACTCATTATTTTTTAAGAGCTTCTGCTGGATGGTTTTTTCTTCTAAGTTGCTGTTGTTGGTAGCATTGTAAACTAGAAGGGCCCAAAGCACCAACCTAGGAAAACATTTCAGATTAGGATTGTTGCTGGGGTTGTTGATTGGTTGGTTGGTTGTTATTTGGTGGGAAAAACAACATTTGGACATGAAGGGCTGACCAGGGAGTGTTGAGACTGAAGAGATGAACCAGGGTGCTCACAGGGTTTCGCTGTTGTGGTATAATGTGCATGTTATACCGTCAAATATACTTCAATATGAATAGATTCCATAGGATACTGCATGTGTAATGCTATATTACCCCATTTATTTTCAGAAATATTTTAATACTAATATAAATATATTATATTCAGTTAATATTTTATAGGATACACACAAGAAGGGACATACTTGTGGTTAATTCTACATTGTTCCTTTGTAACCAAAAATAAAGTTTTTAAAGAAAAATTAAAATTTCAACTGATCATTTAAATTTTGAAATTATTATGAGCGTTATTCTTTACAAATGTAGTAAAATGTCTCCATGATAGTAACAAATGATTTTCCATCTCTGTGAAGCATTTGCAAGTATTTTGTATGGTGAAAAGTTACAAAATTAGTAGTCAAAATATATTCTGTGATTGTCCAGCCTATTACTGAAGAAAGTTATAAAATGTCTGATCGTAAAGCTCTTTAAAAAGAAAATATTACTATGGGAAGCAAAGAGATGTATCCTAGAGGCCCTATCAAAACTTTTGGTTCTACATTTAAAGTAATATAATTTTCTGCTCAACTATAATCACCGTTATAGTCAATAGCAGAAATCAAAACTTAATTTAAATACTAAGGTAAAATTAAATGACATTATTTTGTCAGGTAGAGGAGAAATTTTTCTCTTACATGTGAAAGCTCTGGGTTTGCAACAAAACTTTTATCTTTTCCTTATTCTGAGGAGAAATGAACAACATGACATAAAATAGGCTTTGTATTATCAAGATCGGTTACTATCCACCTGCCAAAGACAAAGTGGCAGCATTGTTTTTAAAATAACCATAGAATACTCAGCAGAGAGGCAGTGGCATATTTTGGTTATGAAATTTTGTGAATATGAATAAATATTAAATAGAGTAGTAATATATTTGTGGTGCTAAAAACATAAGAAAGATTAAGTGAAATATTTGCCATTTAAGGTTAGGTGAAATTAAATAATAACTCAATTTTCCCCTCCTAAATATCTGTGCTAATTTCAAGGACAAAGTACTCTACTGTTCCCACAATTAACTCCAAAAAGCTACTTATCTTTACGATGATTTACTGTTTAACATTCATACATAAGCCATATTTCAGGATGAAGCAAACAGAGATGTGAATATAATAGTGAATTGTGATATCTTAATTTTTTTTAAATGGCCTACAGAAAAGTTATCTCTTGATTAAATTATTATTTGAAGATAAGCTTTGCCACTCCAATTACTGAGAACTTGGAGTTGGGAATGTGACCTTTTACTTGTCTAGATATTGAGAACATAATTAGTACAATGTATTGTGGATGACATTGAATACCTAAACTCAACAATTCAAGAATAACCATGTATTTTCACAGGTCTTATCTGTACTATTTTCCTCTCTCATCCTGAAAACTGAAACTATTTTATGGTTCCACAAAGTCAAGTTCTATCTGTTGTTACCATCAGCCATTCTTTATCTGAATAAACCAGTCTCTGCGGCTTTGGTTTCCTGTCTGTCTAGGTGATAGAGTATGATAGCATTATCTGAAGCTATGGTCTGTGTTACGTGATACAATCGAATTGAAAGGAAAAGTATGAAAAAAAGAACATGTGTAAAACTGGTAGATTGTGGTTTTGAGAAAAACTATGAGAGACTACAGAGGTTTATCAATGAGCATAAGAGCAGTAGAGAATAGAAAAAAGGAGAAAGAGGAAAGGCTATAAAACATTTAAAATGACAAGAGTTCATACCAAAAAATAAAAATTAAAAATAAACTATATGTGTAGATTTTTTTCCACATGCACTGTCCTAGTTTATTCTCCCTATAATTTTCTGTGAAATTATTCATTGACATGACAGACTAGGAAACTAAGATTCCATGAATGATTAAATGTCTTTCAGGCAAGAGTTTCTGATGTGCTGACATATACTAATGATGGCTGATTTTCATATTACCAGGTAGTAGAAGAACCACAGTAAATAAACTAAAAAGAGAATGCTGACTTCCTGAAGAGGGGACACCATTGCTGATACCCCAAACTGGGGTTGTCCCAATTGCTAGGCGAAGTATCTAGTAAGGGGATCCAGATTGCTGCTGTGACCATTATTGAAGGCTCAATATGATCTAGCAGAAGGGGTAGAAGAGAAATTATTCGGCTAAGTAGAGGATAAAAGTCCTATCACTTTCAAGAATACAGTGCTGAAATACAGTACTCTGTTTTCAGATCATCAAGGAAAAGGAATAATGTCAGAAATAAAAACATCGTGCCCTAATCAGATGGCTCAATCCAGTCTGTTGGCTATATATACAAAAATAACATGGTTCAATATAACTTTAAAAGAAAAAAAATAAGAAGAAAGCTCTCTGGTCAACTCTCATATGAAATTTTATTTTTCTCTTCTCATAGTAAGAATAGATCACCTGAAAAGAAGCATACTCTATCATCAGGGTTGAATTGATATATCTATAACATCAATTCAACCAACTGAAACCCAGCAAGACTTATGGGAAATTTTGCTTTTCAACAGAGTTTTAAAAAAATTCTATGCAGATGCAATATGCTACCTGAATGCAACTAAATTTATTCCATTTAGGAATTTAGATTGTTATTCATTTTATGGTAGTCTGAACATCTGGTTCTTACATGCCAATTGGTTAGATATGCTGGACATATCCATTAAATCAGGGGTCCCCAACCTATGGTGAGTAGTATGATTATTTCATTATATATTACAACATAATAATAATAGAAATAAAGTGCGCAATAAATGTAGTGCACTTGAACCATCCCAAAGCCATCTTCCCCACCCCTCAACCCCTACCCCCGGTCTGTGAAAAAATTATCTTCTAGTGGTTGGGGACCACTGCTAAGTTACCTGTGTGGTTAAGTCATGATCCTGATACAAATCTTAAAATGGAGACTTCAGAAAATTACCTGATAGCTTTAAATGCTGAAAATACTTTAGCACCTAATTTTATTACATGCTATTATATATAAACACTTTACTTAAAGCTATTTTCTTTGGAGGTCTCTTTGCAATTTCAAATAAGAGGTGATACGTTATCATAAACTGAAAATACTAAAAATAATAATCTATCCATTTTAAATGCTCTTCTTCTGAATTATTTTTCATCAGATGTACAATACTATTCAGTCTGTTATATTATGATTTTAAGCATAAAAAAAGTGTCCATTAATTCCAAAGAAATCATTCAAATGTGCTATGTGATTACAATCTTCTCTCCTATTTCATTGTTTTCATTTCTCTACCAGATAGTCAAAGCAATGAGAAAGATGAAAAAATGTTTTATTTTTTGCAAGACTTTGTCAGTGTTACCTTTGATCATTCGCAATGCTTCTCTTGACTTTAATCTTGTCCTCTCCTGTGCTCTGGTGAAAACTATAACAGATACATACATTGATTAGTAAACCTCATCCACAGCATCATCAACAACAAAATTTGGGGAGCTAAAAGAAAGAGGCAGACAGGACATTCTAAGCCACTATTTCCAAACATGTGCTCTGAAGTTCTAGTTTCTTCCATAAAGCTGGGCGACTGTGCGCCCTTGCTGTTTTAAAGATTCACAATGCTCATGAGTATATCAAGGAACCTGAGATGTTCTGATAAAGAAACCTGCTTCAGTTTTTTGAATAATATACTTTCTGAACTTATCTGACAGTGTGACCCCTTTTCTGTGTTATTATATCTCTTAGGTTTACAGAATATATGTTTCAGAGTCATAAAATAGACTTTAGAAAATTAGTTTACGTATAAAACTGTAAAAACAAGGTACACAGGAAGATATGGAATACCAATTGCTGAAGATTTAGTGGAGAATTTAAATAGAGAAGTAGTGCAAGGTTAATCTTGAAAAGCCAGGTTGCAATCAGACTGTAGATGTACAAGATCAGATCTTGCAGAAAAGTGGTCTCGAAGCTGAAGAACACACAATCCAAAGGGTGCTCTGCTGCCTCAGGGCCACATGTGGCCCTCCAGATCCCCAAGCACAATCCCTCAACTGACTCCAAACTTTCACAGAACAAATCCTTTTATTAAAAAGGTATTCCTGTAAAATTTGGATTCAGTCAAAAGGCTGCACTCAAGAATTCAGAAGGCCACATGTGGCCCCAAGCCGCAGGTTCCCCACTCCTGTGGGGTATGAGAAGTAACTGACAGCTTCTATTTATGTTATCCAATTTTAATTTTTGACACATTATAACATATATTGATTCAATTGGGCACAACACACACACTACATAAATACACTACATATACACAGTGTATTTAAAACAAATGCATATTTTGGAGAGTACATGCTAAAATTTTTCAAATGACTGGAATGAATACTCAAAAAATTTTAAAAATCATTGCTGCTGCAATAAGGCTTTTTGTCCAAATAATATATAGTTGTTTTAGAAAGATTATGAATATGGTACATGTGCATTTTGTGTGTGTGGTGCAGTCAGAGAGAGAGAAAGACAGCATGCTCAGCATCAATTAGATATAACTTTTAGTTTCTCAAATAATTCATTCTGTCATTTACCTGATATTAACCACAAAAACAGTGTAGTTCCAATTCTGAAAGGTTGAATTGAGCTGAAAAACACGATGGAAAAAGCTGAGTTGTGGTAATACTTTTTTTTTTTTTTTTAATCTGGATCAAGATTCTTCCCTCCCCAAAGATAAATTATTATTAGAATAAGACCCCAGGAAAATGTTGGACAGAGGAGTAAAAAGTAAAGTAACAGTCATTAGATCATTGCATGCCAAGAATTGACAAATGCTACTTCTTTCAATCCTCACAACCAATGAGATAAGTATTAGCCTACCCCTAACCCCCACACAGCCTTATATATAATATAAAGAAACTGAGCTTCACAGAGAGGAAACAGTTTGCCTAAAATCACCCACACGGGAAGTAGCAGATCCCAGACTGGAATCCAAGTCTGTCTGTCTGGAAACACTATCATTTTCTCTCCAGCCCATATTAGAAGATGATTTTCACCATAAATACCTTCCGATTCTTCATTTAACAAACACTGAAGGGCACTAAAATATGTTTTCTAGTAATTTACATCTTATAAGTATATTAGGATCAAGAAAAATTATAAGACAATAATATAAAGCCTAAAAAAACAAATAAGTCCAACATTTTTGGAACTGATAATTATTGTGCGGTTATTTAGCAGTCTTAATGGGTCTCAGCACCAGACTCTTTAATGAAGCAATGGATTCCTTTCAATATAAACAACAAGCTTCCAGGCTACAGTGTCTGAAACCAGTGCAAAAGCGAATTTCTTCAGTGACATGAGATCCTCCTATTTATAAATCACCTCTGAAGGGTTCTTTAGGTCTTGTTTCTTACACACATTTAGCCTTTCTTATAAGCATTTCTAAAATTGAATGTAAATTTTAGGAAATGCTGGAAAAATAAGTGTTAAATTATTTTTAATTATAAATAGTAATCATATGAATCAGGCACACCACTTATGTTTTCTCTGTTATCAAGTATCTGTTTTGATATCTTGCATCTTAAATAAAACGTGTCTGGAAAAGTTTAGCTTCAGATGAGAATGATACTGTGTTACCTCTCAATAACTTTCTTTGGCTACCAAGGACACATTCATCAGACACCTATTACATAAGAAAATCCATTTTTCTTACTTTAGAATGTATATGCTAATGACTTATTCACAAAAAAACAATTCTGAACTATAATAGTTTTATATATAAAAAGAAGTATGGTCTCACAGTATGCTATAGGTAGGAAATTAAATAATTTAGAAAGCTATGAAAAATAACATTTTTGAGATTACTATTGAGAAGAAAATTTAAAAATTCATAGGTTGTATTTGTAGGAAAATGAGGAAAATAAAAGATTAATATTTTTTAAAATTGGAAATTACTTAAGGACTGGTTTTAACCAATAGGATTTTGGTTAAATAAATTATAACTTAAACAACCATTAACAGAAGATCTGTTAAATATATGACAAGAAAGCTACATAATGAAATATTATGCACTTAAAAAAAAAAAAGAAAAAAGAAAAAAACCAGGAAGTTCTCCATGTACTAATCTTGCAAATCTGGCAACAACAAAAATAAATACAGTGTAGAATGGTGTGTAAAATATACTAATTTCAGTGTAAAAGGGAAATAATACTCTATAGTTTTCTTTTATGTATACAAAGAAATCTGGAAAAACCCAAGAAAAACTAACAGTGATGTCCAATTCACTGTTGGTGACGGGGATGGTTCCAGGCAGATAAGCAGCAAAGATAACTGGATGACTTTTATGATATGTCTTTTTATACTTTGGGGGTTTGGTCAAACATTCAAACAAATAAAAAAATCTATTTTTAAAACTATAGGTGAAAATGTATGGATCTAAGAGTATATAAAGATACCTGCACCTACCCAAACCTATTTCCTTTTGTGTAGTACTTTTCTTATTTAAGGCACTGAAATAGTCTATTAGTTTCTTATCCTTTATTCAAATGCACCTCTTTCTATACATAAGCACAACAACTTGTTTACTACTAATATATATCTTATGTTTATAATGAACAGTATCTGTGTTTCAGGATGATCTGTGGATTCAGTTAGTTACCCAGGGCCTTTTCCAGATTTCTAGAAGTTAAAGATTTGAAACAGAAAGAGAAATTTGCCAAGTTCACTTACCCATTCTGCCACCTTGCTCTGTACTTTTACCTCAGGGTGACGAAGGATGTTTTGAATCACTACTGATATTCTATAGATAATTCCATCTGCCCATTGGAAATAGGATTAGTCCATTAATTACATTTGACAGTCAGAATTATCCAACATTTTAAACTTGCAATCACATAAATTTTTATATCATCACATAATTTTATTCATAATTACATAATTTATAACACAAAAGAAACACCTTTTACAAAGGCACAGAAAATTTCTGATAGTTTGATGTTAAGCTTATTGACCTTTGCAACTTCTCAGAAATAGTTATCAATTAGTTTACTCTTACAAGTAGTTCATTGCTCCTAAATTATCACTTACATATGCTTTTCCATAGTTTTTAGTTCTACAGATTTCTCATATCTTCTGTCCATAAAGTAAGGATTGTCATCACAGACAATTTGAGTTCTTATAACAAGAAGTTATGCTTGTTTGTGCATTATAAAGAATGATAAAGAGTTGGGGATATGAGAAAACTTGAGTGAGATGATGTGTAGGAGTTTACTTGAAGAGGGAGTATAGGCACACACACATTTACTGCTCTGGACCTCCTTCTCTTCCCTCTCTTTCTGGTCCCCAGTAAAACATTTCCTTTTACTGAACCACTGGGTAGGGTTCCACCAGATTTTTTCATCAAAATTTCTTAAGAATAGTCATTCATACCAAAGTAGAGGGAAAAAAGAAAGAATATTTACAGGTAGAATTTTACACAGACTAATTCACTTAAAAAAAAAAATTATGAAGAAGGTTCTGCTTTGGGAGAGGAGGGACAATCTGAAATTTGTTTAAAAATGAAAATCAAACTCACCAACAAGGGTTTGCTAAATCTCTCTAGGAGTGTGCTAAAGGGAACTTTACTCAAAGTAGCTAATGAGAAAAATAGTCTCTTAAAATATGGCAGGTTACAGAGATAAGGAAAATTTTTTTAATCTCAATTATTGTCAATCATCTTTCTTCATTCTTATGGTTAGTTAAGTCTTCAGTAAAATATGTCTAGAAAATGTAGAAATATATAATTAAAGCAATTTTGAGGAAAATATTTGATGAAAATTGTTAGGAGACAACAGAAAAAAAATTCAAAAGTATGCCTCTGGGAACTCCCAAATCTACCAAAATGCCAATTCCAGTCCCACTAGCAAAGGAATGTCTTCCCAGTAAAGGCGTCAGAGTCTCACGCTAAATAATGAAAGTTGCTACCCCTGATGTAATAATATAAGACTGGTATAAGTCCAAGCACAGGTGAGCTTAACTTATGCAGACTAGATTATTTCAACTTCTAAAACTCTTTGGGTCTTTTACTGATCTTGATTTTAAATGCCTTTAAAAATACTCTGAATGAAAAAATATTTAGAGGAGCATATAAAACAAAGGATAATAACGCTGATTAAAAAACTCTGACACTGTAGGTATCACCATATAAAATCATGGAATTAACAACTTTATGATGGTGTGAAAACAACAGACACTCAGTAGAAACTGTACTTTGAGGACTTATACAACCATTTCATTCTTCACTTTCAGTACACTATTCAACAATTACATGAGATAGTAAACACTTTATTACAAAATAGGCTTTGCATTAGAAGATTTTGCCCAACCGTAGGCTAACATAAGTTTTCTGAGCACTTTTAAGGTGTATTAAATGCATTTTTGTCTTACGATATTTTTCGTTATGTTCGAATTGCGAAGAGTTTATGGGAACGTAACCCCATGAGTTGAGGAGCATCTGTGCACCGATGTTAGTAGAGTATCAAAAACTGCCACTAGATGGAGACCTAAAGCATGCTTTTGTTATAAGAGCAGTATTCGTTCCCTCTCTTAGGAAACACTGCAAAACACTAAAAATCAGTAGTTTTAATCACTGACATTTTTTAAGTTTTATGGAGGTATCCAAATATTTAAAACATTTTCTTTAAATTTTAAATGTTTCCTGCCCCACTTTTTCAGCTAGTTCACTGTTGTTATAAATGGGAATGATATCCAATAGCAGAGACAGCCTACAGAGAATACTCTCCCTAGAATTATATTGCTCATAGCAAATAAATATGTTAATATACCAAATAACCTAGCATCTTTTGTTACAGATTCTCTCATGCTATGACTAATTTTCACGTAGTTTTTCTTTAGATGCTTCAGAGAGAGATATTTTGTAAAATTTTCCAAAAACTACTCAAAGGAGCCTTGTTATACTTACTTAAATTGTTTGAAAAGGGTAGTCAACAAGTAATCATGAGAAATAGCCAAGAGTAAACTGTCAAAACAAGATTTAAAAAACTGTCCCTGGAGGGCTAGTGAGAAGGGTTTTGGATTGTGGCAAAATAATTGGCTTAAACATTGCCATTGGAGGAAAAGCACAATTAAGACACACTGATGCAGGATTTTCCATGTTATTATAGCAGTCAAGTCATCTTCTCCTATAAATGTAACAACTCTCAATATAAAAGCTATTCATAAATCTTCATGTGTTCCAGAGACTTCAAAAGATGTATGCATTGTCCTAATAATGATATCCAGGCCAGAAGAACCCATGACAGATGCTTCTTGAAAAAAGACATATTTAAGAATACATTCATTTTCCATTTAGATACCCCTTCAGCCATGTAGAACTTCAAAGCAGAAATCACAGACTGCATTTACAGACATGGTATAAAAACACTATTCCTTTCTGTAGGTCTCTCTCCAATTAACCTTTCCTTTTCTTTAAATCGACTTCTTAACATTCTTTTCAGAGTTTCTTAAAAATTATAGAAATGACACTACTCTATATTCAAGGATTTAAAATCTAGTTTTGAAATAATAGGTTCAAAATATATTTTAAAAGATAGATGTTAAAAGATAAACCAAATATTAATAAGATTTGTGATTATTTCTTAGAACTGGTGATGAGGCAATTATGGTCTGGCAGTGGCATTCACAACAGGACTGGCATCCTGCAGACCCTACACACACAATTTCCTTAAGCTCTTTGGTATGTACAGCTAGAGGGATTGTTGGATCCAAACAAATGTTCTACAAGGGAATTTATTATTTGAATAACTAAACATACGTGAGAAACTAGAAGCAGTGTTACAACCTGTACTTACTTGTAAGTTAGATTTTTAGAACAATAAGGACTAATGGAGTTAATTCCTTACTCAGGTTGCTTGTGCTAACCTCACGGAAGTTTACAATTCAGTACTGGTAGAGTGATATTTCAAGCATAGAGGATATGATTTGGAATGAAAATAATTAGTCCAAGAGCTTTACTTGGGAATATAATGGAAAAAGTGCAAAGGCTCATTATTTGTGGGAATACCTAAATTATCCATGAAATATGTTTCTGAAAAGTAGCTTAAAAGATAAGACTGTCTTAGTATGTACAGCAAGTCTTCGAATAGTATTGCTTCATTCAAAGTTACTTTGTTGCAATATCAGTGAGAAAAAAAAAATCATTTCCTGGCCAGGGTCCCTGTCTGTGTGGAATTGGCATGTTCTCCCTATGTCTGTGTTTTTCTGTGGGTACTCCGGCATCCTCCCACATCCCAAAGATCCCAGTGTGAGTGAGTATGGTGTATATGAGTGTGCCCTGCGATGGGATGGTTTCCTGGCCAGGGCTAGTTCCTGCCTGGCACCCTGAGCTGCTGGGAGAGGTTCCGGCCACACTCGACCTTGACTAGCATAAGTGGGGTGGAAAATGAAGAAATGAATGAATACAAAATATTATCAAATAAAAGTTCATGAAGTCTATGATAATCATACAAATGCACAAGGATAGAAGATGCAGTAGGAAAGTGCTTAGTGAGCTGCCACATTTGTGATTGATTTTAAACTGGGTGGTGGGAGGAGGAGCTCCTCACAGTTTTCACTTTGCAAACATTTATTCTGTAATTTAACCCACCCCATGAGGGAGTGACAGACTCCCTGATTCACAAAAACTGGGTAAATAATTCTCTTGTTTTCATTAATCTTTCTTAAATGTATGTGTAGCACACATTTATTTCAATGTTTAATATTAGAAGTGTTTAGGTCTTTATTTAGAAGTTTGGTGATGTTTTTGCGACCAGGAATATGCTGATGGAACTTAATTCTTATTTATATCAGTTAGCCTATGGTAAAATCAGTTTCGTGACATCATTTCACTTGAAGTTGCAGTTTCCAAGAACCTACAGATGAATTTAAGTGAGGATTTGGAGTAAAGAATCAGACTGAAGTCCTACTGAAAATAACAAAAAGAATTTGACACAGGAAACTAGGAACATTTCAAAAAATCCAGGAAAACAAATTTTATTGATATACTAAGAAAGTATATCTGATTATTAAACAATCTCAATCCCTCTCCTCTCCCAACACGGGCATATCATTACCGATGAACTCAGTAAAACTTTGACAGACCAGAGTTAAAAGGACAGGATATGGTAGACAGCGGAGTTGAGAGTTGTACTTGTCTTTCTTATAGTAAACAATATGGGCTTCTCTAATATTTCAGATTATAAACCTAAGAATATTTACTGTATCTGTTTCCCAAAGAATAAGAAATTATTGATAGCATATGAATGATATTAGTACGGGACATGACATAAAATAGCATTTATTCATAAGGTGAAAAAATAATCTTTTCAATTATTTCAAATTTGATTGCATCAAAGAAAAAAAGTCTTAATTGTAGTCTATCCCTAATATTTTGTTACTCTTCCTTTTTAAAAAGATAATGAAGGCTTCAGGCTTTGAGATGTGAGGAGATAATAGAAAATAGGGAGAATTCAAAAACACTGTTTATATTACATTTATTTTCACTTTTCACTTCTGTTTCATCACAAGTAGTACTGGTTTCAGTTTCTAATAGTAAAATTGATTTTCCCATATAAATACAGAGGTTTAAGCAAAAAAAGGAAGTCAATTTAGAAAAAAAAATCCATTAAGTAAATGGTATAGGTGGCTCAAGTATATGGTAAAAATGTTAAGATAGCGTGTACAAATTTGAGTACACAATTTTGAGACTATTTCTACCACATAATGATTTTTGAATGTTTCTAAATGTTGAGATTACATTTTGGTCAAGAATCATCTGAATTCAATTTTTTCCCCATTAATGTGGTCAAGATAAACCATTTTAACTGATTCTAACATTTGCTTGCTTTGTTGAAACGCCAATGAAGGTTATGACGCAGAGAGAGATGGATTGAACAAGGCTTTCTTCAAAAATGTCAGAAATGACATGATTGAGTGAATACAGCTTCACTCCACCAAGTGGAGGACTCTGAAGCATCATATAAATGTTCTTGGGCAGTGGATGATGTGCCAGTCCTAGAGGGAGAATGCCACAGAGGCTCTTTGTATGTTCATACAAAGAGTGAAATACTTAGTTGGAATTATAATATTCCCATCTACTGGCTGGAGTCCATGTGAAATATGCACTGGAAACTTCAGCTGCTGTTGCTTTCTTGGGGGTTGCTGAAATTTTTGCTCCATCATAAATCTCCTTGGTGTAACTACCAGAATAACTATAAACACTTCCCTGAATCGATGTCTTTATAACTCTAATGAGATTTATATCTGCGTTTTATGTAAAATATTCCATACTCGAATTTAAATGTCCTTACAGAGGAAGTTGATGTAACCTCTGAAGCCAAAAGGAAAAATGAACTATGTGGGTTTCTTTTCTCTGGTTTTGGGTCTCTGGTGATACATTACAGATGTCTTGGCCTCACAAGCTAAACGAGTGGGGTTTACAAAATTCCTTTGTTTCTAGCATCTCATATTTGAGTATATTATTGTCAAAGCAATGGTGTTATCACCTGATTGGAATTTATCTTTATTAGAAGAGACTGAAATCACTAACTCTGAATTACCAAAAGGCTATATAGGTGGTCCATATAGGTAGAAAAGTAAATAATAACTCAATTCACCTGGCTTTTCCTCTGTTCATTTCTTACCTTTTATAACTGCTGTATTTGCAAATTACAAATAATATAAATGGAAAAGTATATATGGATAAAAAAGTTAAGAATTATTGGTAGTGACCTTAATTTTTGTCATTAAAATTGATTTATGATTTAATGTATAATCACATTCTAACCTTTATTCTTTGACAAATAAAAACAGAAAGTAAAGGAAATTGATTTACATGTTATAAATGTTTGACCAGAAAGTTCACTTCAGTGAGAAATTAAATTACTAAAATTACTTAGTTTTTTTGGAATTTATAAAATCCTTTAAACACTAGTTTCCTGAAGAGAATAATCTGACAAAATTTTTTTCTTAGATCTCTATTATAATGCAAGTAAATTCCTTTTAATTGAATATTTCTCTCCTAAAACTTCCTTTGAAAGAAAGTTTAGCTAAAATTGCAGAAAAGGAGCACTGGAAATGGACTCACTTCGCTGGTTGTAAGAATGAGAAACTCAAGAAAAGTGATATTTATTTGTTTTACTAGTCTTGCAAATATACAAATGCACTGATTGACTCCAACAAGCTTTGTTGAAACATTACATATTTCCACCCTTAGAACACAACTTTTTATGTTAGACATACTAAAAATATAAAAGGTAATAATTTCTTACCATTCCTTTGTTTATCGAGTCTATTAGTAACAGGCATGTTAGTGGTGACAGTGGGTGGTGTAGTACTAGGAGAGTTTACAGTAGCTGGTAATAAAGACGAGAAAGATGTAATTTTGCAAGGAGCACATGACAGTTAATATGGATAAGCAATCTATAATTAATGCATGAAAATACATGGAGGAGGAATGGAAACCATCTCTTGCTACTATATACAACAGACTCCAAAGTTATAATGCGTAAAATGAAGCAATACTTTCTATGACACATTAAGAATCAGTTCACATGGCCTTTGGTGCCATATAGCACAAAGATCTGGAGCTGGCACAAAGGGACTGGAGAAATGACATTTAGATGCTAGATTCTAGACCTAGGTCTGCCATTAACAGGTTGGCAATCACACAACAAATTACTAAACCTTTCCTAAACTCAGTTTCTTGAGTCTGTAAAAAGTTATAGAAGGCAGTTTGTATAAACCTATGGCTTGAAAGCTATCTAAACTATGTCAGTCTGCCTAATGCACTGAGACTGGTGAGATAAAATCTCAGAAGAAAATGTCTCTCTTCTTGAGAAGTAAAAATAAAAACAAAAATAATGAAATATATAGACTAAATAAGTCATCCAAAGATCCCAATAACTTTACTAAACATTGATGTTTATACCTCATAGGGCAACACTTATAGCCTTATGTCATAGCTATGCTTCTGATACTATTAAAACTCTCAAAGACTAAATCCTTATGCAATGCTTTGATAACATTTTTCAAAGGAATTCTCGTGGAGCTATATAAAAAATAAACTACACACATAATTTTCCTTTAATTTACCTTACATGTACATTTGTTTTAGATGTACATTCATATATACAATGACCATTTGTTATATATCTCTCCTAAGTTTAAAAAAAGCTACCTAAATTTAAAACATTTAAGTATTTAAATGATGACAAAGAATTATCTTCTAAAGGCTCTGTAAAAAAATACTGAATTCCTTGATTCAAACATGCATTAAGATAATTTTTCATTCTAAAGTAATATATAATATATAAGAATAAAAATTCTTTTTGAAGTCTTTATTTTTTTATTATGATCAAATTATGTTTATCAGAATGCAAGGTATATCATGAAAATGCTTTTTAGTCACTTAGGACAATGGGAGAAAAACAAAACAAAAAAAATCTGGGAATCTGGTCCTTTGACTCAAAGAATAAGTACTACAGATTAAACAAATAAAAAATTTTAATTTTTAAAACAAAGCTTCAGATCTTGAACAAAACAAAATTAAGTATTTTTGGTCTACTTCATGTAACTACACTGAGGTTAGGTGCAGTGGTCCACTCCTGTAATCTAAGCACTTTAGAAGGCCTAGTGAGAGGATTGCTTGAGGCTAAGAGTTCAAGACAAACCTGGAGAACATAGTGAGACCCTGTCTCTATAAAAAAGAAAAAAAAAAAATTAGCTAAGCATGGTGGTACACGCCTGTAGCCCTAGCTACTTGCAGGTCTGAGGCAGGAGGACTGTTTGTGCCCAGGAGTTCTAGCCTGCAGCAAGCTATGATCACCTCACTGCATTCCAGTCTGGGCAAGAGAATGAGCCATCTCTAAAAACAAACAAACAAACAAACAAACAAATAAAAAGTCTACACTGAGCTCATGTAAAGAAACTACTTAATAACTTAATTTTCATAGGGTATTGATCAATAATAATATCAGAGAAATAATGTCTCTAAAAGGAAAAGAAAGATAATAATGAGTTACCCATCCCACCCCCCCGGCCTTCCTCCCACACTGGAACCACAGAAGAGAGCTTAGGTTGCTACTTGTTTAGTCCCACTTCTAACCCTGTCACCTTTGTGCTATGATCATCTTAATAAGTGATCCAGCTTTTACAAAAGGCATGGACGTGATTCTTAATGTAGTACATAGAACATGCTACTTCATAAAGAAGTATTTAATAGGATAAATGGATGAAAGGGGTCATGAGTAATTAGAAGGCACAATGATAAAATTAAAGCAAAATATTTATACTATTATTTTAAGACTTGTATAACTTTATATATTATTTAGCATGCAACTATTTAGAACATAATGTATAACTGCAATACTGACCAAGCTTTAGTCATTAAGCATAATAATTAATATACTTACATTGACATCAGTTTAGTATAACCATTTTTATCCTAAGATTTAAGTTATATTACACATCATAAATTGCCTTGTCTTAAACTTAACTAAATGTTCCACTTACTTTTTCCCCTTGAATTATACACATGAATACTTTTTCAAAATATTGTACCACTGTATTTATACTAGACTTTTGCAATAATCTTGAGAAGAAATGGGGGGAAAAATGAAATCAACCCTTGTTTAGTAGCATATAATCCATTCACATTCTTAAAAATGCAGTGCTTTATGGAAATGTGGTCATCCGGGGTGTGAATGCATTCCTTCTCCACACTGTATGTACTGTGCACCCACACAACTAAAACACATCCAGAAATTCTTCTGTTTGCTGGGTTTTTGGCTTTGCAAGTGAAAATTAAGATAAAAATCAAAACAATGACAACTACATTCCCCCAAAACAGCATGTAGGAAGCAGAGAGTCTCCAGAGGATGACGCTGGTTCCCTACCTTGACAGAGGGTCCCCAGATCTGCACAGCTGGCTAGTTCTGCAGCCGGGAGTGGGATCAGGTAGGAACCTTGATCAACACAGAGAGAATACACACGTTTGATTTATGATTTACTGATATTATGCAGAAAAAAATCATAATCATATGATTGATGTAATAGGATTAGCCCTAGAAGAGTCCACCAGTAAATCTCCAATATCAAGTAAGTCACTTAAGGTCACTGTGCCTTAATTTTCTGAAATGGAAAATCAAGGTATTGCAATTATTCTCAAAATCTTTAACTCAATTATCAGCCATCCACACATGAAATGAAATGAAAAGAAGTGTTATTGCCCCTTAAAGATTCTGCAAAAAGTTCGGTGCCTTTTTGTAAAAGAACTTATAAGGCTGTGGTAGAAATTCACAAAAATGAATAATATAAACATTAAGGATAAGTTTCAAAAGTGAACTTGGATATTATGAATTACTCATAAAATGCATATTTTGGGTTCATAAGCACTAGCATATGCTATTTGCAATTCCAGAAATATGTTTCTGTGACTTCAATTCAGTCTCTGTGTCTTTTTATTTCAAGCTTTTACTGACTCATCCTCAGCAGGAAACAAGTTTTGAGCTGATTTTCTAGTAGAAGTAGTGGATTTTTTCTGTGGCACTAAATCTCCCTTTGACAAATAACAGACTTTTACCAACAGATTGAGGCTAGGGAAGATGGACTAAACTTATCATAAAGTATATTGCACCATGAATAAAAACATAAAAATAAGTATATACAATAAATGTGTATGTGTATATACATAAATACAAATACATAAACATACATACATAATACATACATACATATTTAATTTTAGGAAATATTTATATAATAGTAATTTTATTCTAATACTTAAACATTTCACAAACTTTCCCATAGGAATAATATTTGAAGGCACAGCAGGTGCTTGAGCTGACAAAAGATACCTAAGTAAGTAATGATGTGCATAGGTAGAAAAAATCCCAACAGTTCAACAGCATCTCAAGAGGCATGGTTTCTCCTTTCTTCATTGCATTAGGCACCTGGCCCAAGGAAGGAATTGGGATACACCAAAAAGCCCCACTCCTACAGACAGGTCTATGACATGACATTGACTGGCAAGAAGCTTTCACCACAGACCTTTATATGTTCATTCAACAAACATTTACTCATTGCCTACAATATGTGAGGCACATAGGCCAAAATGATGCTCTAAGCAATGTCACTGCTCTAAGAGAGGCATGAATGGGACACGGCTTCACAGTTCTAAGTGCCATGGGGAAATGCTTAGAAGGTGGTAGTAGTCCACAGGACATGACAGCAGCGTAGTGAGAAGAATGAACAGGAAATCCATTGCAAGGAAGAGGACCCAGGAGGCATATGAGGTTGGAAGAGAGCTGGGGGTAATAGAACAGAGATGAATATTGCTGGCAGACAGAATGCCTGAAACATATACCAAGGAGGCCCTGCAAGGGTCCGGGAACCCAAGTACTGGCAGTACTGGAGTAGGGTAACTGTAAAAAACTGGTAGGGGCCTAGCACAGTGGCTCATGGCTATAATTCTAGCATTCCAGGAGGTCGAGGCAGTAGGATCCCTTGAGGTCAGGAGTTTGAGACCAGCCTGAGGAAGAACAAGAATCCATTTCTACTAGAAATAGAAAAAAAGTTATCTGAGCAACTAAAAATAGAAAAAAATTAGCCAGGAGTGGTGGTGGCATGCCTTTAGTCCCAGCTACTTGGGAAGCTGAGGCGGGAGGATCTCTTGAGTCCAGGAGTTTGAGGTTGATATGAGCTATGATACCAGGGCATTCTAGCCCAGGTGACAGGGTAAGACTCTGCCTCAAAAAAAAAAAAAAAAAAAAAACCAACCTGGTAGGGATGATCAGATACATAAGTAATGGGTAGCTTGTGAAGGGCCTTGTAGAATACAAATACCATGAGCCCCAGAACCCTGTGTCTTTCTTCTAGTGGTGAGTCGCACACATAGTAGGTGGGTGTCCAACTTTACTGAATAAATCACTAAACATTATGAATGACTACTAAAATTTGGAACTCTTTCCAAAAGGCAATGGGAAAATAATAATGGGAGGCCTGGTGAGAAAATTAGATTTACATTTGAAAACAACTATCTTTGAGGTCCTACAACTAAAAGGAAAATATAAGAAGCAGGAATACTACTAATAATTCAAGCTTTATATCATGAGAACAATGAGGATGGACAGAAAGAGATGTATACAAGAAATTGAAAGATAAAATGTACTGGATTTAGTGACTAATTGGAGACAGGAAAAGGAAGAATAGAGCACATTTTGCTGGTTTCCAACTTGAGACATTGGTACACAATAATCCTATAATCCAGTATAGGAAATATTGGAATAGAGCAAACTTAGGTGAGGTAAACACTAAGTCCAGTAATAAAAACTGAGGTGTCCATATGACATCCGGACACATGGGAAGTTGTACATTTTTGTAAGAGGTATGACCAAAGAATACTCCACAGAAGCTATAGATGTGTCTGGGACCAGAGCTAGATTGTAGATTTGAGAAGAGCAAAAGGTGGATGCACACATACTCCTATATTTAAGCATCAGATATAAGAAAAAGAGCTACAGACTCTGAGAAGGTATAAACAGCTTTTGTATTATAGAAGGTGGTTTTACAGAATTCAAGAAGGTTTAATGGAGGGTGTGGCAATATCAAGTACACCAGAAAAGCCAAGAATAATACATTCTGAGAAGACCTTTAACATTGCATTGGGATTTTTATAGTAGCTCTGGAGAAGTTAGTTTCAGTTGTGTGGGAACGAGAAACTCTGGACCACCGAGGTTTGAGGAGTGAATGCAAGAAGAGGAAGCTTGGCTGTGAAAGGAAGCAGAAAAGAGGGACGTTTTAAAGATTGAAAATTTAAGCAAGTGTCCTATGGAAAAAGAGCATTTGAGAAGGCAGAAGGTGAGGTAGGACTGAGCTGGAATTTTATCTCGAATGCTTTCTGCTCATTATTCCTTCCCATCACACAATGCACGCCCACTTTTTGCAGGACCTCACTTCTGTAGGTACTTATATTTTAATAAGGGACTTCTGGAAACTAAAAAGGCCTTTAAAGCTCAAAGTGACTGATGAAATCTCAGCCACAGTAACATGCAACAGAGGAGAGCACTGGACGGAGTTCCTCTGGATCTCAAATTACACAAATGTTGGCAGCAGCAAAGGCTCTTGAGGCCACTTCTGGCACTGATACAATATCTCTGGAAGACAAAGGGAGATAAGCACACAGTTGTGGGAAAGAGGTCTTTAGACAAACTACATTCCCACTATAGTATGTTAAAAGCTAGTATGAAAATAAGGAAACAAAATCAGACGAGCTATGATTTAGAGTAAGATACTTAACAATTTTCTTGAACATTTTCATCAGTTTCATCATGTGGTAAAAGTGTGAATTTCAATATGTGGCATCCTTTCATGGCAAATTGTAACATTTACCTCTCAATGTTTTAATTAGTTGTTCCTTCTGGGGAATTTCCAGTTTAGCAAATTGACATTGCTTTATAAGTACTCAATAAACACTATTTTATAATGATCTAATACAGCAATAGAAATGACATGAGAAGATTTTTCTTAAATGAGAAATGGTATAAATACAAGTAACAAAATTATAGGGAATTAAATTGATAAATGAAATCCTACATTACAAATATGCCAGTTTTCATAAATACACAAAATATAAAAACTATACACAAACTTTTTATTTCTGCCTAGTTCCATTTTTCAGCATATCTGCATAAAAAAGTCATCATAATTTTCCTAGGCTGACAGATTTACAGACTGGAGGATTGTTAAGGAAGAAGGGACAATCCCTCTGCTGGATAATGATATATTTACCTTCAAAAAATTGCTTTTAAAATGTGATCTCTTTGTGTTCACTGATTTTTGAGGCTAGCACAAAGGTGTTTGAAGGTATTTACTTAGTATTAATGGCAAAATTTAGAGCCAAGTTGTTTTTCTTTTAATGTAATCACTGAAAATGGGTAATTGATGAAAAGCTATAAAGCTGTTAAGCTTTCTTCTCTATTGTTGTTCTTCCAAAAGCATGCTCCTGAAAGGAGTCACTATATATTTATACAAGTTGTGCTTAAAAAGACTGATGTGTAGCCAACTGTTCACATCACACCTACTTAGTGATAATACAAACAACGGTAGAGTAAACCCTCACAGTAAACTGCAATAACAGAAGAATTCCTTTCAATTTTCTCTGCAGTTGTTACTAAGATGAACTGTATAACTTTTCATAAGTAAATATACTTAAAATAAAATTATTTCTGGAAATCATCTATGCTCATAAAGAGTTTGGCCATCCTCAAGTAATAAAGTCCTTTGTAAAGATAAAGTGATTTTATCTTAATTTTATTATTTAAAAATGAGTTCGTAATCTAAAAATGTTAAACTCAATAAATTGTTAGGAATGGAAAGAAGGAACCAATAATGAATTAGAGTTTCACAGCTGTGAAGGACAGAACTAACAATGGTGAAAGGTTAAGAATACAACAGTTAATGAAGCCTTAGCAAACTAGATGCAAAATTCTGGAGATGAAAGCAAAAGTACAAATTCAGAAACTTCTAGAAAAGAACAACAACGAAGTTGAGTACTTCTGAATTGTGTCTTATCTCTATATCCACAGTAGCTAATAGATGGAAGTGCTTAATAAATGCTTGTTAAATAATGTTATTTGTTTGAACTTAGACTATTCATTGAGTTATACTGTACCACTCCTCAGGAAAGAGCAGTAATCAGTAAAATAAATAAAACTGGTAGAGAACACACTGTCTGTTCTTTGTGAAAATTGATGGACATTAGCCAGTCTAAGCTTGAATCATAACACAGGCTAATACTTGCACCTATAATTAAAAAGTCTACTAAAAAAAGTATCTATTGATAGAGGTAATAAAACTGAATATACTTAATAAATCTTAAATTGTTCTAAGAAAAATAAAGATGCTATAAAATGAAAAATAATTATTTCTAAATAAAGCGTATCTTCCTGGAAAGGACTGACAGGATTAATTAACCATGTTTAAAAAAAATCCGCTGAAAATTTCATTGAAGTACTTTCTCCCAATATGCTTAGAAAAGTGCAGGAAAATAAAAATGTCCAATTTTAAAACTGTTGAAACATTTGTTAATAATACATTGATTTTATTAAGGCTAGGATGTTTAATATGTAAAACAAATGATAAGATTTTAATGTTGACTGAAATCAATTCTATTTAATCTTACTTTCATATTAAAATTTCTTTAGCAATACACCTTTGGAAAATCTATTCATTTTTTCATCACAAGTTGATCCTGGAATAAAAGTTCATATTCAATGTCGTCAGTCCAATGGAATGCTAGGAATGAAATTCTGTTTTCCCATTGGTTACTGTACTGGTCAGTAGTTTGTTGGAAATTATGATAACCATAAACAGCAAGCCACATTCATTTTCCAGGAAAAAAATGAAAGGTTAAAATGTTAATAGACCATAATTTTTTTTCACTTACTGAAGTTTTGCTTAGCTGACAAGCCTAGATATAATCTCTCTAACAGGTATTTCCTGTCAGTTAATGAGTGACTTGGGTTCTTCAACTCCCAGAGCTGATGATTAAGCAGCAGGAAATTCCCTCTCCCATCATTACTCCTGAAACACAGTCCAGGACATCTGAATGTCCGGAATGAGAGTGTTGAACGTCATCAAGGAATGTCAAGAAGACTGCTATAGAAGTTGAAGGGAGTCAAATATGTTGACTCTGTAAGCTTGCGCTACTCCTTTGATGAAATCATTTTGAAAACTTATAGATGACTAGAGTAAATGAGCACGTCTGTGATGCGCTCCGGTAATCTCAAGGCCTGGGAAAGGAGTCTCGAAGACAGTGTTTAAGAAAACATGAAGAATGCATGATCTCACTTACATGTGGAATCTAAAAAAGTCAAACTCAAAAAAGCAGAAAGTAGAATAGTGGTTACCAGGAGCTGGAGGGGTAAAGGGTGGATAAGGGTTGAGAAGGCATGGGTCAAAGGATATAAAATTTGAGTTAGGAGGAATATGTTCAGGATATCTATTGTGCAACACAGTGACTATAGTTAATAACAATAACTGTATACTCAGAAATTACTAAGAGGGTGGATTTAAAAAGTTCTCCCCACAAACAAATGGTAAATATTAATACATGAAATCATGAATGTTAATTAGTTCAAATTAGTCATTCCACAATGTATACATATATCAAAACATCCGGTTTTATGCCATAAATACATACAATTTTTATTTGTCCATTAAAATAATTTAATAATTTTTTTAAAAAATGTGGAGACTACTAGATATAAACCCTAAGCAAGTAGACAGGAGATGTGTTTTAGTGCACAAACTGCCTGAGATACATTTTTTCTAAGCAGTTTCCTGCCCTATATAAAGGGAAGGGAACGGCCTAAATCAGTACCCAAACTCAGGTGCCTACAGGGCCAGGAGGCAATCTAAAACAAAAACGGGGCTGGACTGGGGACCATATGAGGGTGTTATGGGCTGAAGTGAACTGGGAAGGCCCTTCAAAAGCAGCAGCCACCATTTAGCTCTAGTTGTGTTGACCATGAAGAAATACTAGCCTGGTGATAGTATTTTGTTTGCCAGAAGAATCTAAAAAGTCATTTTTATTTGGAATCTAATTTTTTTAATGTTGGAAATAATTCATCATTTAAAAGCATTGTGTGGAACAAATGTAAATGAGCAAGAACAGATAAATGCTACCACTAGCACACCTGTCTAAGGGCTAAACTAGCGTCGGGTGATTGGTTTATTCCCTCTGGCCAAGGAGATCTAGCAGGTCTTCTCTAGTATTGTCCAAAGTATGTGCTTCAGCAAAGTGGACCTTTAAGATTCTGTACTAGTTTCAGGGATTGGCAAAAGTTCTCTTAAAGAACTAGACAGTAAATACTTTAGGCCATGCTGTGTCTCACATTAAGTCAACTCAGCCGCTGAAGCACAGAGGCAGCCATAGACAGCACATAAACTAATGGGTATGGCTGTGTTCCAATGAACCTTTATTTACAAAACAAGTGAGCCAGGCCTGCGGGTACATGCCTGTAGTCCAAGTGACTCAAGAGTCTGATGCAAGAGAACTGCTTGAGCCCTGAAGCTCTAGTCCAGCCTGGGCAACATCTCAAGACCCCATCTCTTAAAAAAATAAAGAGTATTAAAAAAACAAGTGGCCTGTCACAGTCCCTCCCAGTTTTCCAACCTCTGGTCTAGAGAATTTCTTAGAGAAGTTTAGGAATCCCTTTAATAATATATCCCTCATATCATATGAAGGTATCCAAGAAGCATTTCAGGAAATAAACCTTATTACATTTGTTTAAAACAAATACTATGTTACTCTCTAAAGCTACTCTTTTCCCACAGAATGCACAGCTGGCCAGAAGAGATGGCTCTTAGATCTTCTTACTCCTCCTTGTGCAAGAATTTGCTCGCCTACCCTTGTACTAATTCACATCTTCTAGTCCTGCCTATGCTGAAGGACAGCCTAATTTTTACCAGTTAGGAGAGCAGCTCTAAAACCAAACTTTCCAGGTTCGAATCCCAGCTTGGCCACTTACTAACTCAAGTGACATTGGGTAAGTTATTTAATCTCCTTGTGCTTCAGATTCCTCATCTGCAAAATAAGGTCAATAATAGCATGCACATCATGAGATCTACAATGTGGGAAATGAGTCAATATATGTAAAGTGGTATCTAGTACACAATATGTATTCAATTTACATGTAATTTAAGTATTAGCAATTATTAATATAACTAGCAAAATTTGTTTTGGCTGCTGTAGTCCTCAAAATACTGTCCCATAAAAAGGCAAACATTAGAATGGTCTATATTGCGAGTTTTTAATAACAGCCAAGTATATGGCGAAAAGAGGCCCTGGACTAAAGACAATCACGTGGCACATAGGAAGTGTACCACTCACTCTCCTCACACTTCCCATCCCACACCAAACACACACACACACTTGACCTCAATTTCTTCTCTGCGTGAAAGACTTCTCAGGAGTCCCTGAAGGTCCTCTCTAACCTCAGACTGAGAAAGGATCTTAGAGAACACCATTAGCTCTAATAAAGTCCCTCAGTCTCCTTCTGGAACAGGGATGTGGTTTACCCTCTTTCCAACATCCCACAAGGAAATCTCAAATGACATCACCCGGTAGCCTTCCCACCATCTGCGGGAATGCCAGGGACCACATGGAGAGGTGGGTGATCCACTCGGAGGGGTAGGTGACAGGGGTTTCCCAGGCCGGAAAGGCAGGCACAGGTCTTATAAACTAGGGAGGTGGCCTCAGGTCTTCATAATGGGCCCCACTTTGTTCAAAGTATGGGAACAAATTCCTGGTAAACTTCCCTCAAAGTCACATACAAATCATCTTCAGAGACCAGGTCCCTTCTTCCCTCCTCTACTGAGTTACCTCTGTGACTAAAAAGAATATATATTATCAACATCTTAGATTTAGTCACATGACATTTATATTTGATAATGAAACTTTCACTTTTTGAGTTCGAATCAGTCTTATAGTAAAATAAGGACTTCTAGAATTAACTTATATACATAAAATAAACTTGATGGAAGTTTAACACACTTTTGGTTACATAGAATTATTATCCCCCAAATTTTGCATTTAGCTTCCAATACTAGCATATTTACAGTCTCTTGAAGAGAAATCAGAAAGAGAAGAATATTTGAAAAACACTACAAATACTCATTTTTAAACAAATAGAGAAAAAAGTTCAAAGAGAAAATTGATAATTCCTGAATATCAAGATTTTCCATAAAATGGGCATTTTTGATATGTAATACCAGTTGATTAAATACGATTCTCTTAGGTGGTGGCTGTTTATTTAAGTAATCTAATTGAAATTTTATTCCAGGATGATAAAGAGCAGCTTATTTCTGTATCACCTGGTGACTAAAAACAATAACTTATTAATTTCTTTTGTGGCAAACCTAGTGTTAACATTTGTATTTGAGACGCACTAATTACAACTGTCGATACGTTAGTAATAAACTGTGTGATATTTTCTGACATAGGGAAAACTAAACAATGGTAAGACCAAGCATTTTGATTGAAATCTGCATGGCTTGTAATCAAATGTCTGCTATGAACAGCTGAGCATATAATGTTTTAAAAATTAAAAGAACTCTTTAATGGTAATTATATATATGTATATATGTGTATATGTATATACACATGCCTGTATGTATAAATTCTTACAAACACATTCATCAAACAATGCTTAAAAAAAAAAAAAAAAAGAGTATGCCACAGACTCACCACAGCTTAGGTTACTTTCCGCTTTCAGAGCTACGGTCGGGACATTCCAAAAGTCATTTTGCCAGTCGACCACATTCCCTTTCACATTACAGCTGAGGTTGGAGAGGATTTTGGAATTCATGGTAAAATTCCAAAGTCGAAAGTTGTAAATGTCCCCTTTTAGAGAGGAGATCTCATTTTGATTGGAACCCAACGACAATTTCCCATTCCCAGGAATAACTTTACTAACAGTAGAATCACATAGAACTGTTTCATAGTTTCTTTTGAAGTTGACACCAACAGAGCCCAAAGAATTATTCCACACCATGCAGAGCTGCTCGAAGCTTTCTGAGAAAATGTCTTCTTTTTCCGTGATAGGGAAGGCGCTGTTCAGCAAGCATTTGGAGCCAGAAATAGATAGAAAGTAGCCACTCTCGCCCTTTCCAAAACTGAGCAAGTGTGTGAAGGTCGCATCTGAGTAAGAGAAAGCTGTCCAGTCACTGTCGTCACTGCCAACTTGGGTGGCTTCAAAACAGAGTGTGAAAGCGCTGAGCTCTGGAATGGAGACACTTTTTGCAACAGATACCTGGTAAGCATCTGGCGTCTGGGGTAAAATGACCTTTTGATTCCTTAAGGACACGGCAACTAGGGCAAAAATGTAGAGATAAAACATGTTAACTCCAGAACCCTGAGGAATGAGATGCAAAACATCGGATAGATTCAAGTCCCTCATCCCTCCTACTAATTAATTTTTTTACCTACCATTTGCCCCATTCCTCACCTTTTTCTGGTCCATCCTGTCACCCACCAGCAATCAATTGTCTCACATCAATAACAACAACAATGAGAAACTCTACCCATTTTAACTCTACTGATGATCGGATCTCACACCTAAACCTTTGAGTTATAGCCAGCCAACTTGAAAACTATTTTTTTTTCTTTTTTTCTCTTTTTACTGACCAAAGTGGTGGTATTGAAAACTATTTTTTAACCACTAAAATTTTTTTAAAATCCAACTACCTAATTAAGGAAAGAGCTGGTTTCAGAAAGGCTCTGTTTGTACATTAAAATTCTAACAAATATGTTATTTTTTCAAATAATTCCTAAACATAACTAACAGTTTTATTTTTCATTAAGAATTGCCTTTTACTCTTCCCAAACATTCCAACACTACCCTCTCCCCTTCGGACACTGCATATCCTTCTGCCTCCCCCCCCCCACCACCATCAAGCTATTTTAGGAACAAATGCAAAAAGAATTTTATTGAGAAGGGATCCAATGAAACAAAAATGGAAATTGAAGTTATAGTTGCTTTACATCTGGGCATGTGAGCTAGTGTTTGAAGGATACTAAGGAGCAGCAGTTAAAAGGGCAGACTACAGAGCTTCCTACCCCAGCTCTTCCATGTTGTAGCCCATGACCTTGGGTATGTCACTTCACCTCTCTCTACCTCAATCTCCTCATCTGTAAAATGAAGGGCTATGGCACCTATTGCATAGATGGTCAACGAAAATAAGTTAATATGTATAAAGCATACAGCCGTGCTTACATATAGAAAGAAATAGCAAGAGACTACTATTATTATATGCATAATAAATTCAAAATAAAAATGCATTCACCTAACACTTCTGTGATATACGTGAAATTAATAATATAATGAATTTAGTCCTGTGCTAATATACATTGTGAAAGTGATCTGAGAGAGAAGTAGCTCATCTCGAAAATACTATTTAACAGTATTCATATGAAAATACTATTCATATGAAATGCCATTTCATATGCATGATAGTTTGAATATATTTTAATATACCATACACCAAGAGTAATTCTACAATAAAACATCATTTTAATATAAATATTCTAGTAAAAATCCATGATAGAATTTAAAAGAATTATGAATTTCATAATTAAGGCATATAAAGCAGTTCATAGGTCTATTTATGCAAAAAGATACTTATATAATATGAACCTAGTGTTCTATATGCATTTTTAAAAAGCTCAGAAGGAAATATACCCATAAATATTTTATTAGTGGTTATAGCTGGGTGGTGGGCATACAGATAATTCTAATTTGCTTCTTTTTTATTTCCAAATGTCCTATATTTTCTGATTTTTAAAACATTATTTTGAAAAATTAAAGCATGTGTGTTTTAAACAGTTATGTACCTAATATCAATAAACAATAAATAACTCCACAATCAAAAACATAATTTATAATAATGAGAGCCATTTTCATAGTTGTGCCTTTCTTTTTGTTTGTGTGTTTTTATTGCATATGACATCTTCTTAGGAAGCTCAGAAGAAAAAAAAAATAAAAATAAATCTCTCTTAAACTAAGGTGTTAAAGAGAATGAGATTACTTAAATATTATGCTGTGCCAGAATATTGGAAAAATATTTGATAAAAATGCGCTTTATTTCCTTCAGTTATCCATTTTCAGGGGATTTTCTCAGATTAAGTTATTTATTACTTTACATTACTAATGGATTTCTAAAAATTTATATGCTAATTTTCTATATTTGTCCCTAGCCTAGTTCCTTAAAAGGGCAACATCTTAAAAGCCCAAATAAAATGATTTCTAAATAGCGATGTTTTAAATTATCATTGGAGAGATATTAGAATTACAGATTTTAATTATTAGCAGTGTAATATCTACAGTATCTTCTAAGCAGCCTTTAAATGTTCTACATGTGAACAATATAAAAGAATTCAGCAGTACTGTAACCAGATTTTGGATCTGGTGATTATATTTTGCTAATGAGAATACTCAGAATATTAACAGATTCTTGCCCTTAAAGCCTAATCCTAATCATTGACATCCACATAAAAGAGCATAACTCTGTCTACTGGTCCTTGTGTTTATTGTAGAACATGTTAAATGAAAGCAGAAGGTTGGCGTCGCCTTTGGTTTACATACCTCTGATGTAGCTGGCATTGAAACCTTTCTTCTGGATGCTAAAGTCACTTGAAAAGGACACATGCATCTCATTCGCACTTGAGTTAAACGATAGGCCTTTGGCAGTTGCTCCACAAAATTTAGGCTGGCTCTCTCCATTATCAAGGGATAATGAGTCATAAATGCAATTGGGAGCTTCTTCAATGTCGAAGTCATTAAATGTTATCTGAATGATGTAGCCGGTGGGGGCTCGGAGGGTCCACATGCAAGCCTGGCTGTTAGGGTAGTCATTAGGGTAGCACGGAGAAGTAAAGGTCCCAGAAGGGCTGGATAGGACAACCCTGCAGTTGGCACATCCCCACACTGTTGGCCAGACAAAAAAGAGACAGAGAAAAGGGCTGAGATCAGATGCATACAATAAACCAAGAATACCACACACCAGGGATAAGCAGACAGTAAACATTTAAAAACACCAAAATACAATCATGAAAATTAAAAGGAAAACGAAACCATCTTGAAGAGAAAAAGAAATGCCAATAGAGCAACAAAAAAGGTAAAAGATAAATAAAAAATTTTTAAAGCAATGATTTTTAAACTTGGGGGGGTCATATACTCTGAGAATCTAAAGATAGTTATGAAAACTCTCTCCAGTAAAATACACAGGAGCCACTACACATTGCACACAATTTCCAGGAATACGTGAGGCCTCAAGAGCCAACAGTGGATTTCACAAAGGTTCATCAACCCAGGTAAAGAAGCTCTACTCTCGAGAGCAACTGAACTGGGGAGAAGGAGGTTTTAGAACCATAAAGACAGAGCACAATATTACAAACCACGGATACAAAGGAAGAGCAACTCTTAGGGAATAAATGTTTAAATAGAAAACTACCAATATAAAAAATAAACAGGTTTTCTTCTGGCAGATTGCATTTTTTCCTAAAATTCAAATAAACATCATCTCCTTGCATGTAGGGAATATTTATAGTTTTGAAAGTACTCTCACTCATCCCATTTGTTTATCATAGTTGGTAATTACGTGCCTCTGTCATCATCTCAGTTACTCATTCATTCAGTAAATATTTATTGAGTGCCTGTAATATGCCAAGCACTATTCTAAACAGTGTATATCAATGAGCAGGAAAGACAAAGTCTCTGTGTAAAGGATTCTTATACTTAAGTCTTAGACCTAATGATAATAATATAATGCAATGACAGATGGTGATAAAACGTGGGGAAAATGGTAAAGCAAGGGACAGAGGGAGAGTGACCTGAATGGGTGAAGACAGTGGGTAGTTCTCCAAAGAGGTGACATTTGAGCAGAGACCCAACTGAAGTGAGGAGGCATGTGGTGTGCACACGAGGGAACAGCTAGCTGTGCAGGCCAAGGGAAGAGCAAAAATAAAGACCCATGGTACATGCACATTGGTCTCTCCCATTGAACTGTAAGTTCCATGAGGTCTAAGATCATGTCTCCTTTGCTTACCACTATATTCCCAAAATACAGTGGTGGGTTCACAATAAATATTAATTGAATGAATGCATGTGAAAAAAAATATCTTCCCAAGTCAACAGGAAAAATGCTATTATCCCATATTCACTAAGGTAAACAGAATCTTCTCAATTATTATTTATCCAGGGCCTGGCCATCAGTTCGAATCAGAAACCAGGGTCTTACTATCTTCCCATCTAGAAATGTTTTTGCAATTAATATTCTTGTTGCCTTTAAGCACAGTATAAATGACAGCAATAATCCTATTTATCCAATACTCTGGATAAATTGCCATAAAACTGACACATAAACTTTCAAACAAAAAATACTTTAACCATGTTAATGGAAATCATTCTAAATTTATTATGTTGCTCCTTCTTTTGCTGAGTTGACTAGAATGAATATGCAATAACTTTTCTTGAAAAAAATTGTAGTTATTACAAATATCGCTATTCTTCTTATACGATGAAGTGATATATTCAGGGATTTATTTATTAAATGAGCTACACTGCTCAAGTTAGGTTTTTCTTCCTTCTTTTCCCTGCGGCCATCTTGTGTTATGCAACGTTTTGCCCTGCCAACTCTGCTCCTCTCCAGTCTTTCCAGTCTGCCCTCTCTGTGTTCTTCCTCTCTAAGTTTTGACATCTTACACAAGGCCAAAGACAGACAATAGAAAACAAATTATGACCACCCGGTATCTGCCAAATGCCTCGTCTTATCCATCCCTGGAGCACCATGTTCCTGTCCTTTGTAGCACTAGTCAGAGCAGTTGTGTTTTCTATTTGTAAGATGTTTTTCTTTTTAGTCTGTCATTTCCCACTAGTTTATAAACTCAACGAGAGCGGAGGGTATGTACCTGTCATATTCACCATCCTAACTCTCCAACACCCCACAGCATCCCTGGCACATGGGACATCTTCAATAAAATGCATTAAATTTATAAACAAGTAAGTGAGTAGCTTAAATGAATAGCAACATGCCTAAAGAATGACTATGTGCATTGTAACCAAGTCAAACAAATTCGAAATCTGAAAAAAAAAAAAGAGTGCATGAGCTCTGGAACACTTCTTTGGGTGGGGCTTTGGGGCTTTTTTTTACCAGTTATTCTCACTCATAAGCACAGAACTGAGACGACTGAGTCTTTCTGACAAGTTCTCCTTCCTGTTAGTATACTTTGGGTTCAGGTGAGAGTAGTCCTAGTAAATTAACAATAATTCATCCAGTAATAAGCACTAGAGGTTTCTTTAAAAAGTAAATAGG